CTCCCCGAGCCTCTCACCTGAAAAAAGAGTCGGATGGAAGAAGGGGAGGAAAATAGTCATCTTTTCTTCCCAGAGATGGACTGAAGTAACCCTTCAGCTGGAGAGGAAACCCAATACGGCCTCCAGCTCGCCGTCTGAGAGGACGGAGAGGGGAGGGCATGGGGGAAAGGGGGGCAACCAAAGTGGTTCCATGTGAGAAATGGAAGTGAAGTCTGGGAAAGACAGAGATCGACACCCTGAACGCCCCTCCATTTTCCTCCCCCTCCTTCCCTACTTCCCATCGCTGTGGACACCAAAGAGATACCAGTCTGCTCTCATTTATTCTGACTACAGCTGTTTTATAGACGTTTCCTTTCAATCCATTGTGTTCTGTTCATATGCTGTATATGATTGAGGGATCTTATACAATCAGATCCCTCCACTACTGAAGGAACCTAGTGGGCACAGGCCCAGGGGCCCAAAGTGTCAGGGGCCCCCCTGGCCTTCACCTACATAATATCAACCAAAGAGACACGAACCACCCATTGAGAGACTCAAAATGACCACAAAGAAACAAAAAACCAGTACAAAGAGATCCAAAACAGCTGTAAAGAGACACAAAGAGACTCTCACAACTATGAAAAGGAGCAAAACAATTACAAAGTGACACAAACCCACAGAGAGATGAGTAATGACTATAAAGAGACTCAAAACAACAGCAACAAAAAGAGCAAGAACAACTTTTAGACCAGGAGAGGTGCTGGAGCCGTCTGCATGTCTGTGGTCACTGTCTCATAATCTGTCTCATAATGTTGAATCACTTTCAATTACCTTTGTGTTTTCTATTATGTGCTTTGCCTTCTTGTTTCCTGTATTTATTTGCATGGTGTGCTGCTCTATATTGTTCTAACTTTTTTTCTGTTCCAGTCATTTTTGTTCTATTTTATTCTAATTCTGTGCCCCTCTTCTATGCTATTCAAGACTGTGCCCTTCTATTAGTTTCAGTCACAGTCGGCTCTGTTCTGACTGTTTTAATAGGAAACTTCTAGAAGCAGCAGCAGCTCCAGTCTGTTCAGGTAGCTTCCTCCCCTGTGGAGCCGCTCTGAGGAGGCGGCCTAATATCTGCAGACATCTATGGCCGCCGCCCAATCTGTTGCGCGCTCCGTTCATTTCACGCACTGCCAGAAGTGCTTTGTAATTATCCTGATATTGATGAAGGCTGATTCCAGCAGGCAGTTCAGCTGTTTTTACGCATCTCAGCAAAATGTCTCTATCCATTACCAGTGGCAAATTAATTTCCACTCAATGACCATACTTGTTGATAATCTACCAATTTGTGTGTGTGTGTGTGTGTGTGTGTGTGTGTGTGTGTGTGTGTGTGTGTGTGAGCTCTGAACCGTAGCATATAACTTGGTTTACCTCACACAAAGATAACTGTGGGTGTTAGCTTGACACTACACAGTGGCCCGTAGCACACTGATGCATGTGCTTCAGTATTATTGTATATGTATACGTGGTTTTATTGGCAGCACTCTATAACAATAGAGGTAGCATTGTTAAAGTGGCAGCATTATGCTAGCAATACAATAACACAGGGATTCCTAGAGAGAGATAAATGGGAATGGGAATGAAAATGGACGTAGAGCTATGAAATTGAATTTTAAAGAAAGGAAGAGATTTGGAATAAGAATAGAAATGGGAATAGGAACTGGAGTCGGAGTGAGAGGAAAATGAGGATATGAATGGGTAAAGAAATAGGAATAAGAATAGAAATGGGAAGATAAATGCATAAGAAAATGGGATTAAGAATGAGAATAGAAATAGTGAAGGAAATGGGAAAAGGCATGGAAAAGAAATGGAAGTAAAACAAGGAATAAGAATAGATTTGGGAATAGAAATATACAACAATATACCATATATTTTTAGGATATTATGACACTACAGACTACAACTCGATTCAATTTAAAATCATGACTTCCCTTCCTTAAGGAGTACTTGTTTCGATATATTTAGATTTCTTTTTGCAGATTGATGCCTCGGCATTTGCATATGTTCTGTACTGCAAGATCAGTGTCATAAAGATGCAGCTAAGTATATTAAAGATGTGTGATTCCTGGTACAAATGACCACTCGTACTTATTAACACCATTTCGACATCTCGCTGTGATGCATTGTGGTGTATTAGAGATCCCTTCCACCACCACACTAAGGGTAAATAAATGCGCCTTAAAAGAGTAAATGAGCTTGAGCAAAGTGGCCCTTTGAGTCCCCATGTTTGTGGAGCAACCATAATGGATTCTTTAGAGCCGTGAACGGTTTATAGGCATGACAGCCATGTTTCGGCACGATGGGCTTATCCCTACGCAAGGCGCTAAGGATATTAGGGAATCAGCGTAAAGCAGCATGGAAATGATGACTGGAGCAAAGCCTCAGCTCGCTGGTATTATAAGCCCTCAATTCTCCAGCACTCCTTCCTTGGGAAAGAGGGGGAAGGAGTGGACTTGGCACAGCTCCACGGTATGATATCCTCCATTATTTCTTGCTCCATCTCTGTTTTAGCCGTACAATTGAAAGGCTGCTACTCAATCTGGGGATGGGGCACATTTGAGAGGAGGTCAATGTCGCCTATCGTGGTGTTTCCTTTTCAAGACGGTGCTGTAGCCCCTGTTGTCCATATGGAGATCTGTAGGAACAGTTGGATGAGAGCCAGCTCTCTAATGCCTGCTGCAGCCTCATATGAAGCATTGATGGCACACGCCAAGCATGAAAACCGACGCCCATAAGGTTCCCTAAATTAAATCCCTTTACTTTGACGTCATAGCACTGTTTTCACTGCAAATTCATCATTTTCACGTGCAACTGTCAATGTTTGGTTCTCATTAACAAAGTATATCCTTTCGTTAACAGAAAGTGACTTGTGAAATGAATGCGTTGCAGTCATCCCAGTGTCAAGCTCCCACAGTAAGTCACAGGGTTTACCCAAGTCCACAGTGAGCTCACCAAACGAACATCTCCACCCAATCCACCCACGGTGGCTCGCCTGTCAGGGACGGGCCACAGCAGAAGGATGATTAATGTGCCACCTCTCACCCCCCACTGTAAATTAGAGAGCGTGGGTCGAAACTATTTTTCTTAGTGAGCAGCGCGCTTGTGGCTAAAAAACGGGGCAAACACTGTTTATCATCTGCCTGACGACAGCCCTCCTTGGGGCAAATTAACCACGCGGCCATATCGACTGGCACGGGCCGGGAGTCAGTGCCCCTTCACTTTGATTAATCTCTCCGTGTTCCTGTTCCAACTCTATCAAAGTAATCTAAGTGAAGACACACAGCATTGATCTGTAAACACAGCATACTACTGTGCCAAAACACACACACACACACACACACACACACTGAGAGGGAAAGAAGCCACAACAACAGGAGCTTCTCCTCAAGTTATGATTAACCAAAGGAAGGTTATTTGCATGCATTATAATTGGCAAACATATATGTAATTGTAAACAAAAAGAAATCACCTGATCTTCTGCTGCAACATCACGAATGGGAAACATGTGGTCGTACAGAAGATATGTTGTACTTTGAGGTATGAACAGCCCTCAACCGTTCCACGGAGGAATGAAGAGAAGTTTGGCGAAGGTGGCAGCTTGAGCTCATTTATCCAAGAAATCCACACAAAATGTTGTGTTAATCCATCTCTGCACTGCCCTGCACCGACTGCACCACATATGCAAAACAATCTGTTTTATGTGTAGCCTTGCCAGCGTGTTTGGCAGACGGTGACTGAGCATTTTTCATTGTGTTATTTCTGATAACTCATGTGGATCGGCTGCTTTAAATCCAGTGGCGTGACACTTACAGTACCCCTGCTATTGTCAGTGTTTTTACACGGAAGACAGATGGTGCTCACATGCAGTTCGCATTAAACCGGACAGGGCAGAGCCTTACAAGTGCAATGTTATTGGATCTCTGGGGTCAAAGTGGTTTCACACAGTTGTGTGTTGGTGGGACTTGCTTGTGACTCGCATGACAGACTGATTTGGTGGTGTCAGTCAACATAGTTTTGTTGAATAATCTATATTTTGCAAATTTCTGATGGTAAAGAAGTGAAAGTGACGGGTGAATTAAGTATATTTTTTAACCTGAATACAGACAAATTGTAAGTAGTTTAAGGCTTTAGTGTGCTGGATCACTGCAGATTTTGCTTTTAGCTGCAACATGTGGTCAGCATGTTTTGAATTTCCATGATCTTGCTGAAGAACACACGGTTTCAATGAGTTTGACATTGTGAAGTGATGTGGACTGATAAAAAAAACTGTAATTGAAGCAACAAATACATCACAATACTCAATTGTTTTAAAATTCTCTGTTCTTTACACATTGTCACTTGGCTCATTTGTCATTTTAGGCAGATTAAGTGTGGTCTGCTGTAATGTGGCTTGGATTATCCAGTTCATTCTCTTCTTCATTGTTTCTGCTATTTCTGTTCATGTATTGTTCTAAAGATGTTTTATAAACATTGTCATTTCACTTGAATACATCTTTACATTTCTGGTGGTTTTTTATCTTTATATTTTCCCACATTGTTATATAAAACACACAATGTCTTTTGAAACACTATGCTCTACATGTATACATAAGTAATGTTCATGAAGGCTCAGGGTTTGGTGTTGGTCTTTTTTATTCTTAATAAAGAACATATGCAAATATTATTAGCAGCCGATGTCACATATTAATTTACATTTCTGACATAATGAATAACAGTTTTAATGGAGCAAAAATAAGAAAAAAGAAACGTTAATTATATAATGATTGTTTGGCCATTTCTAGCTGTATTTTCTGACTAATTGTTTTAATTTGTATTTTTTATATATTTCTGAGATAATAATAAAATAAGGAATCTCTAACTAGGTTTATAGCAAATATTGTTTGGCAATTTCTGGCTATATTTTCTGAATATTTGTTTTAATTTGTATTTTATAATTCACGGCACTTGTTTATGACGTGCCCCAACATCCGCCTCCGACGTCATCAAGATCAGACAACATGGCGGCGTCCTGTGTCCGAACCGTGGGATCGATTTTAGGAAAATGTGGAAATTGCAGCTCGAGCTTAAACACGGTCACGTCGCAGTTAAGTCGGCAGGTGAAGTGCGATTTTATCTTTGCTGAAGTAACAAGTTGTGTTAATAAATCCGACGGGAAGTCGTAGAAATAGACTGAAATGGACAAACACTGACGCCCTTGAGCTAGCATTATGTTAGCATCCTTTGGCTAACGGTACATGTAGCATAATAACTGCCCTTTTCCTCGTTCTCAGGTCCTCGGCAGGCGGATATGTGTGAGCTCTGCCCTCCAGAGAAAGAACCTGGCGGCTGCAGGGCCAGAGAAGTTCACGATGGAGTTCATCCAGAAGCAGGTGGAGGAGTTTAACATCGGGAAACGTCACCTGGCTAACATGATGGGAGAGGATCCCGAGAACTTCAGCCAGGAGGACATAGATGTAAGTGAGCTGTACTGCTGACATGCAGGTGCTCTCTCTGTGCGTGTCTGTCATGTTCCCACAGGGGCTCACAATTAAGCACTGCTTTTATTACAGATCTTATGAAACTCAGTTAACAGAATAATCTCAGTTTCTGACATACATGTGTTGTGATTTGGTTAATAATTCCTTAATGAAGGAGAATATAGGACACATGTTTCTGGGAATGGACAGATGTTTTGTAAGCATGTGTATCAAGCTAATATCAATATATATTATATCAAGGACTGCTGGGCCCCGGAATACGAAGCAGGATTTGGGATTATTAAATACACAAACATAACTGTAGTCGGATGTATCGTGCCCGAGATGAAGCAGTGATGAGATGAAGCAGTGATGGTATAAACCTGTTCATTTATATTCACACAGTTGGCCTTTTATGTGTCCAGCTGCCCTTCTCTCATTTGTCAGTTTGAACTTTCAGCCTGGAGTATGCGTTTACCTTTTTTGTGTTTGTCTAATATTATAGTTTTCTCTTTGTTTGTAAAATATCCTCTGGCACCAGGCTTGTTTGTGATTGTTCATATGCTGCAAACACCCTCACGGGTGTTAAGCCAGGTAACCAAGAGACACCCTGGGTGTGTAGTACAGGCTCCACAGTTACTAATATTATAGAAGTTCATTCATTCTTCTCTCATGTCCATATTTAATAAAGTTGTATTTGCTCACATGATTTAATCATCATTCAATAATCACTTTGTTGCAGCTTCTCTTAATATGTTATGGTAGGAAGTGCAAATTCTGTTTATATGTTAAAAACACACCAATGAGCCTGTTGCAGTGGGTGACATGTTCCTTTATTAGCACCATGAACACACACACAGGAGTTTATTTTGACTTCGTCCCCCACACACACACACACACACACACACACACACACACACACACACACACACACACACACACACACACCATCCTGCTGCTGGAAATACTCACTAGAACACCGAATGTGGATTAATCCTCCACTGACAATAGGCCCCACCAGTTGTGCTACTTCCTCCTGTTTGTGTAACATTTGGTAGAAACTACTGTGAGCAGCTGTTTAAGCCTTTTTAAAAGAGAAATGTTTTACTGCTGTTGTAGGACCTGACAGGCTGGTAGCTGAGTGACAGAGTAGGATAGATATTCTGCTTTTATGGTCGCGTAAAGAACAAGATTTGTAGCTGCCACTTTTGAATTCGAGCCGAGCCAAAGTGTGACAGAGGCCATCTGTTCTATCATTTTGCTGCCTTATTGTCCTGAGAAAGAGCTGCTGTGTGTTTACAGGCAGGAGTGTGTTTCACAGACGTCTCAGAAGTCTTTTTACATCCCTCTTGGTGTCAGATAGCTCATCAGCATTCATCGTCATGAGCCGGAGTTTAAAAGCCACAAAGCATTTTAAACATTGATTAAGTTGCTGGAGAGTTTAAAGCGGTGTGGTCTCTTCACATCGTCATCATCGTTAGCATCAGGCAGGTGTAGCCACCTCTGGCTAATCCGCTGCATCGGGGATATTAGCAACGCCTTCACACACATGCTTATTCCAGATTCTGGCAATACATCAGCCCTCACTGATGCAACCATTTAGCTTGATTTCCCACTGTCCCCTCACCCAGTCCCCAGTGCCCCTCACACGTAATGAAGAGAGCTGTTGGCTCCAGGCTGTGAAAGCCGAAGCGACGGCTAGCAGCCCGAACCTGGATGTGTGGAGGGAAAGGGGAACATCAGGGAGGACTGGAGAGGAGAGAGGGACCGGATGAAACCCTCCGCCCCGTTTAGAGTCCAGACTCCTCAGATGTGACGCTGACAAAGACCCTGAGAAATCCAAAGGATGTTTACCGGCACGGGGAGATATGAACACTGGCCACAGACCCATAAAGAGCCATTCATTTAATGAAGAAAAAAATGTATATATATATCTTAACATAACTGCTAATACCCAACTATTACTTTGAGCCAAGATTCGGCCTCCAGTCAGCTTCCGTTAACACGAGTAGTGAAACAATTATAACTTCAGCACGGACTGTGGAAATGGACGTTTTCCAGACATTCTGTAAAGTAAACGAATTAAAGCAAACGTTGGTCCACAGCTAAGTGGACAGTGACTCATAATAATCTCTCAGAGCAACATGTGAATGATCGCTGCAACTACAGACTGACATTAGTCAGTTGATTATTTACATTTAATAATGAATCGTTTCGTCATTAAAATGTCAGAAAATAGTTTTTAAAATGTCCGTAGTGATTTTCCCTTCACCCCAAAATAATTACATTCGTGCTAAAAACAATTGATTTGTATTATTTCATTAGTCGATGAAAAGAAAATCAATTGTCAGTAATTCAAATAATTTAGTGTTTGTTTAGAGACGAAAGAATATATATATATATATATATATATATATATATATATATATATAAATAAATAAATAAAATAAATTTTATTTTTTTTGTCTCCTGGCCTGGTGAAGCTTTGTATCTCACTTTGTGTTGTCGTGACGGAGCGTTTAGATTTGTTCACCCGGCTTGTTAAACACACAACAGGATTGATTTCACCGTGTCCTTCGTATCTGTAACACTGGACTCCTGCGACGCGGCGTTGCTCGGTGTTTTCCCGGTGCCGGTTGGACTCGTTCCTCCTCTGTCATTCCGTTGTCTCCCCTCGGGGGTCTCTGGCATATTGTGCTGAGGCTGAGGGGACACACAGATGTGTCTTCATCTGTTCCCCGCTTCTCTCTGCCTGTCTTTCCCTTTTCCTCTTCTTTTTACTCTTTAACTTCTCTTGCTGTCTCTCACACCTTTACACACACACACACACACACACACATCTCGACCGGCCCTTTTCTTCCTGCTTTCTGTCGTTTTGACAACCTTAAAGGCAGCAACCTGTTCCCTCCGTGCAGCACCTGCTGCCTCACTAATTGAACCGACAGAGAGGAAGAGGAGCGGAGAGACGGAGGAAGGGAAGAGATGAACAGACTGTCTTGATGAGTGTGGCGGGGCCAACGCACTTTCTGTCTCCCTCTCTTCTCTCACACACACATTTCCAGTGCCATCTGTAGCCCTGCTAATCACACGGACACACACACAGAGCAGAGGATGAACTTGGAGTGAACTGTTGGATGTCCACAGTGTCCTCTGCTCACTGTCAACTGGGCCAGAAACTTGTGCCTTTTTCTGCTAGTTTTCTCCTCTAACTCTCCAGTCACACACACACACACATCACGCTCGCCTTTTTGTGAACCCGCAAGCAGCTTGCGCCTCCTCTCGTCGCTTCCACTGTCATCCGTTGGTGTGACCTCCGTTGTTCGGACATGTCGGCGTTCTGCCATCGACGCGTCTCTCAAACTGCCATTTTCTTCTCCTGTTATTTATTCCTTTGTTTCCTTCCTCTCACCAACAGAGGAGTATAGCGTACCTGTTCCCCTCCGGCCTGTTCGAGAAGAAAGCCCAGCCCCTCATGAAGGTACGTCTGAGTGGGTCACAAAGACATTTAAGTTTAAAGGCTGTACATTCTTAGATTTTAACTTATATCTATCAACGTTTCGTTCTGCACATAAAGACATTTTATTGACTTCACACCAAATCTCTAATTTCCTTTCCAGCATCCAGAGGAAATCTTCCCGAGGCAGAGAGGTATGTCATCTGTGACATTCTGAACGTCTACATAATTGTGTGTTTTGTGTGAACTGGTTTCCTGTCTTGTCTTTGAAGCTGTCCAGTGGGGTGCAGACGGGCGGCCGTTCCACTTCCTGTTTTACACCGGCAAACAGTCCTACTTCTCCCTCATGCATGTGAGTACTGCAGGCAGGAGCTGAAGCACAGAGCAGCACTGTCAGGTTTTTATGTGAGGTGGAGGTAAATCTTCATCCAGGCCGAGTCCCTAGTTCTTTCCCCCCCCGCACCCTCGGGTCATATCCTATTCAGACGGAGTGAGTTCAGAGAGGGCTGCGCTGTCCCCGAGGAACGGCAACGTCGGATCCTCTTTTCCACATGGAGAGCTACAGCTGAATAGAGCCGGGGTGAGAGAGAGGTGGGAGAATAGAGGACGGTGAGAGGGAGGGAGTCCGCTTTAAAGGAATACCTGCCTATACCTGAGCTCCAGAGAGCTGAAGGTAGATAAATGGAAAGAAGGGTGAAAGAGAGAACACGGGCAGCTGGGAGAAAAAGGGGCGTATTTGTAAGATCATAAATAGTTTTTTTGATTGAAAAAATGTCTTTTGTCCTTTTTTTAAAAACAGAAAGAACCAACAGGGGGCTCCAAATCCAACACTGTGATGAGAACATTAAAGGATGTTTAATTTAGTCATTTGAACGTATAAATGACAAAACATAAGACGCTGAGCTCCCATAGATGAACAACATGCATCGTGTGTTGTGTGAGATGGTGGAAATGAAACAATGTGTCCGGGATCAAAATCCTGTTTGAGGCGCATCTGGCTTGTCAGGCTTTGTCCCGCCACGGGGAAGGACTCCTCCATGGGGATTTTGGGGGGGAGGCCGAGGGGGAGAAGGGGGAGCTGCTGCACCATTCACACTGCTCCTCACATCTCAGCAGACCTCCTCCTCTTCCTCCACCTTTTGTTGTTACACGCTCGACTGTGATGCTGACCTTGTTCAAAGACGTTTCACAGATGAGAGGCGTGTGTCTGTATCTAAAACACAGAGCGGGGTGTGATCTCTGAATATTAGTCCCAAGCTCTCACGTCTTACACACACACGCACACACACCATTGTGCCCTGCAGCCACAATCTGCACCCCCTGCTGTTGGATTAAATAGGTATGTCAGACATGTCTGAGAGCTCATTCTGCAGGTTTGCTTGATTGCAGGCTCAATCACTCCCTTTTACACTTGTGTTTTCTTCCACCTTTCCTCTTCCTGTTTCCTTCCTTCCCCTCTTGTGTCCATTTCACCACACACACACACACACACACACACACACACACACACACACACACACACACACACACACGTCAGGCGTGCTTCCAGGAGGGGGCAGTGGCGTGTAAAGTAGCCTACCCGGTCGGCTGCTCTCCTCTGGCTATTGTTGGGCTCAGCCAGCGTGGCACATTAACCCACTCACTGCTCCACTGAGCCCTTTATGGCCTCAACCCCAGGGAACCTGGACACACACCTTCCCCCCCCCTCTTCCCTTTAACCCCGTGCATATCCAATAAATGCAGCACATCCAGGAGCAGATAAATACACCAGAGAGCTCCATCCTCTCACAGCTAAAGCCTTGAACTTGGAGGTGTTGCCGTGCATATAAAGACTCACTGAATAGAGAGAGTGGAGCTCTAGCTGTCTGTCTCTGTAACAACCTCGACTTAAATGTATCCAGATACTGGCCCTCTCCTCTTTCATCCAGCCAATCCATGCGAATTATTCCTCGCTACTGTTGTTCCCGCTGTTTGCAAACGTGTAACGCAAAGCCCTTACCCCCCCCCCCCCCCCTTTTTTCTTTCCCCTTTTTTTTTTTTTTTTTTGCAAAGAAAATTGGTTTTTGCTTGATGTTGTTTCTGCCCCCCCCCCCTCCTGCCTGCTCCTCCGGTGCCCCTCTGTCGCTGGTCGGAGTGGCAGCGGATTAGGCACACTCTATCAAGAAGGAATTAAACAAACATCTGGTGAATAATTGACGGGGAAATGAGTTCTCACCCAGGCACTGGGGGCTGAGGTGGGGGTCCCTGCCTCGGGGACGTGACCGGCATGCCCACCCTCCCTCCCTCCGTCCCCCCCGGGTTATTCCCAATGAGAGTGATCTAATGACGAGTGAGCCCCCAAACTGTCCCGTCATTTATTTAGTTTGGTGCTTTTGATTTTCTTTCCAGCTCTGCTTCAGGCCAAATACAGACACGGGTCGGTCACTTCAGTCCACAAACTGTGACGTATATTTATAAGTCTATAAAAAAACATAAATTAATTTAGTGTCATAATTAATTGGCCAAAAAAGGTTCTAATACTGCAGAAATCAGAATAAATGTGAATTCAAATAATCTATTTTTTCCATTCTTTTGAGATGAAGTTAAACATCTAATGGGAAATAAACTTTTATATTTTGTACAGCACAACAGAATCGTGTCCTGATAAACCTGTAAATACAGTCTGATTTCCCTCTCATATGCTAGTCCTGAATCTGACTGACCCAGCAGAAAGGGCCACACATGAAAGGTTCCCACCGGGGCCGATGCCAATTTAGACAAGGCTGTGGGCCAGCTGACGGGTGGCTAGCTCGCCCTGCATGGCTGCTGCTCTGAGGAAGAGGAAAGTTCTCCTCGTGTGCGCCCCCTATTCAATGTGAAACTCACCAGGAATGCGGGAATCTATCGTTTAGTGACGTGTGTGTGTAGGAATGTGTCATCCTGAATGTGTGTCTGATGCATTTTACAGGAATTGTACGGCAAAACCCTGAAGATAGAGAAGCACCAAGATCGTCTGAGAACCAAGGGACTCTTCTCCAAGGACACCAAGCAGATGTAAGTAGAGGAACCCTTCAGATAGGAGGGAGGTGAACGGCTCCTGAAACATACCGTCAGTGTTTTCTGTCTCCATCAGCTCTCTGGGCACAAGCAGGTGGCTCACAAAGGAGGAACTGGAAGTGCTGCTGGTTGAGACCATCTCCTCTCATGATGTAAGGAGTCTCATTTCTCCTCCCATCGTTTGACTCCACCGCTTCTCTTGAGTTTCACTAAACACCTTTTATTTTGCTCTCCTCAGTACAATCGCTTCATCCAGCTGATGGAGCGCCTGCTGTCCATGCCCTACTGCGCCACAGAGGAGGACTTTGTCCTGCGGCACCGCCGGACACTGGAGTCCCTGTCCAGGAAGCAAATGGTGCCGACGCTGGAGCGAGATGAAAGGGGCGTGGCCTTCAGCACGGCAGACGGTAGATACACTGACAAATGTCTCCATACATGTCCAACTAAGCACATTTGACTTTTGAATCAGTTGCTCCCTTTGTTGAAACTGGAGATAAAGGCGTGTTGCTCCTCTCAGGTCGGAGGAAGACGTCCACCTCCTCTGTGGTTCTTGGAGACTGCGGCTCCGGACGCATCACCATCAACAGCAAAGATTACCTGCACTACTTCCCCGTACTACAAGACAGGTAGGAGAGCTGTGTGAGTGTTTCCCACATGGCAGGCTCTCTGCTGCCTCGTTCGTAGATTCTTTAAAATGCAAGACGTGATGTCCTCCCCTTCAAAAAAAATTAAAAAGCAGCTTTTCCACTCTTCACAGCATCGCCTCGCTTTTTATTTATCTCCTTCTAGTTAATTACACAGTTGAGTGAGTGCGTGTTCGTGTGTGCGTGGATGTCCAGAGCCGGTGTTGTCACGCAGTGTGAGGACGAGCTGTAATTGGAGCAGAGAGGTGACAATTGACTTTGTCAGCAGCCATAGGCCATTCAGCCTGAGACGCCATCCAGAACACACACACACACACACACACAACCACAACCTTATCCTTTTCCTGCTGAGTCAGAAGTCCCTCTGTAATATGTGGTGGTGAGATTGTTAAAGAAAGCTCTTCACAGTGCTGGGATCCTCTCTGCTTGTCTAAAAAGTCACCCAACCAGACATTAAATGAGCTAAGCCCCCGCCGTTGATCCCACTATCTGTTAAATAGCACACACTCCTGCTCTGCCGTTCACTTTCTTTTTGATCTCCTGGTCATTTTCCCCTTTTCCTCTTTTCCTCCCGCTCTCAGAGAGCAGCTGATGTTCCCGCTTCAGTTCATGGGCATGCTGGGACGCTTCGACCTGGAGTGCACCGTGAGCGGCGGCGGGCGGTCCAGCCAGGCGGGGGCGCTGCGGCTCGCCGTGTCCCGGGCCCTGCTCAGCTTCCTGTCTGAGGGGGAGGTGGAGACCATGAGACAAGGTGGGTCTCAGCGTTGTCATTGTTTTAATAAATCCACGTTGGTGAACTCTGTTTTTCAACAGAAATCGCTCATTAATAAAGCCAACCAGTCAAATCTCAGATGTTGAACACATTGTCTCAATCAATGATATTGTCTCAATCGTGTTTCCATTCGTCTCTTGTTCCTCAACTTGGACCTCCAGCTGGTCTGCTGACCCCTGACCCCAGAGTGAGGGAGAGGAAGAAGCCGGGCCAGGAGGGATCGCGAAAGAAATTCACCTGGAAGAAGCGCTGAGGAAGCAGATCGCCTCCCCTGAACTCGAACATGAAACATTCAGGCTGACGTCTGGTGTCAGTGTTTCCTAGAAGCCCCGTCACGTCAGGTTATTTAAGGTGTTGGAAGAACACGCTCAAAGAGAGAACAGGCCGCCATTCTTCAGTACGCAGCCCCGACTCAACAAGCTGCAGTGAGCCTCTTCAGCCACCAGATGGAAGTGTGGGTCAAGGAACAAGATGAATATGTTTGTCAATATATTAAACAGTTTTTTTCATATAGAAGTACATGTTTCCTTTGCTTGTGATTACTTGAGTGTAACTTTTAGATGTTTTCTTGTGTCAGCATTTAACTTTGTTCATGACTTTAGACTTATAATACAAGTGCAAATGTTTGGCATTTGTACTTGATTTATTTAAATTGAATTATTAGTTAACGCTTAAAATGATCTATTAGATTTCTAATCAGTTGATTCAGTGATGAACTTTTCCGTACCTGCAGGTTTGCATCATGTCATAACCAGCTTCAGCCACCAGATGTCGCCAGATGCAGATGTTGAGCATGCGCGCTTCTGCGGCTCATTATGCTAATATAAGTATCTGTTCAGAGCAATTAGGTTATTAATGTAATGGATCTGATGAATGAGGAACAATGCTCGGTGCACTGCATCTGCTAGAAACAAAAAAAAAAAAAAACATCTTGGAAGAAGGATTGGAGAATGTGTTAAACGGTGTAAGTTTACAGTGTAAGATACAAATCCTGCACATGTCCTGTTATAGACATTATATGCTAATTAATATTGACAGGTGCGATGTCTACCTGGAGTGGGTGAGGGAGGCGGAGGCTGGGGGGTGTGGTGGAGGGGTGGAGTCCAGACAGGCGCACCAGACTTCAACCGGAATAGGAGTCAGTGTGAGGGGGATGAGCGCAGCAGCAGCTCGGCCCTACCTGTCCTCCGTCTCTCACTAAGGTTGGAGGCGAGGTAGCGCCTTTAACTGCGGGTTTTGTGCTGTTCTGGTCCAATGGAGGCAGCGGTGCTGAACCACGCCATGATGGCAGAGGTGGACTGCAACAGCAACACCCTGAACGCCGAGTTGGAGGTGAAGAAGCTGCAGGAGCTGGTCCGGAAACTGGAGCGGCAGAACGAGCAGCTGCGGACCCGGGCGAGTAGCTGCTCGGGCGGCCCGCACGGGCTGTCTCCAACCTCGGCATGCATGCTCGGCAGCGCCGAGGGATACCGTCTCCCCAGCCCGCGGCCAATGTGTCAGTCGTCCTTGGGGTCATTCTCGCCCCCGGAGGAGCCGTTCGACTATTTCCACTCGGGCGGGGATGGAGCGGAGGAGGAGGACGGATCCGAGCCGTCGGTTCTGGATGAGCTGGAACTTTTGGATTTTGATTCTCTGTGCTGCTCAGACGAGTCTGATGAAACATGGTAACTATTTAAATGTGCAACCATGTGTTGCTTTATAGCTTTCAGTCATGGCTCCAGCGTGCATGTGTGATTGCGATGCTCCTCCTGTTAATTACGCCTGATTTCCTCATTGTGTCTGGACGCACCAGCCGGTCCAGCCTCCTGCTGCACAAAGACACACGCACACACACACACGTTGGAAGTGAATTAGCTGAGAGGAGATGCCACTTGTTATCAGGCTGCACTAAGCTGCCATTCTCCCTCTGTGCATGAAATGATGTGTTTATCATTGGTGCCTTGCTCTACCTCACTGCCACACAGGGACTCGAACCCTAACAGTACTTTAAGACCACACATTCCATGAGATGGTGTGATTGTTGAGCTTAAATGTCTTCTGCAGAAAGACCCTATAACGTCATTTATTGTCTTCTTCCACTGACGCAAACATTTGATGTTGTTGCAAAGACACCAAATCAGGAACTGAAGTTTCGCTCATGATGTTGCAACCTGCAGGGTGACCTGACTGACCATCTCATGCAAATAAACCAACTGGAACAGCTGAGTTTAACCAACAGTTCTTTTCATTAGTTCCCATTAAATTCGCTTTTCACTGAATCAATAAGGTTCTGTTTAGAAGTGGCAACTTCAAATGACCTAGTTTTTGAGTCCAACAATGAAGAAACTTGAATGTATTCAATCAAAGATATTCATAATAATATTTAAAACCCAATGATCGATTCAAATTACAAGTTAATCAGCTATGCACTGCAAACATTGCTGTATATATCCAGTGATATATTGTGTATATCCAGTGTTTCTAATATGTTGCCCACCCCATGTGTATTAGTGAGGAGATCTTTGAAGAGTAAAGAGAGGGACTGATTCTGCACTGCAGCACATTCTGATTCATCCTTTATTTGGCATATTCACATTGCAGGCATGTCTAGGAATAGTAGCGGAGGTGTGTTTGTGTCTCAGCTGATGCCACTGAAGGTTGTAATCTATAATTCATCTCACTCCGTGTTGCCCGCAGAGCAAAAACGTGGAGGAGAGAGTTCAGGGCTGCCAGTTTATATCTGATCCGCTCCTCTTCCTCATAATCTAAGCGGCTGATTAATCTGCTCACAGTAATGCAGCCCTGCTTTTATAAAGAGCTTGCCGATAAGGCCCTCGTTTAGGGCTGATTAGCATGGAAAGCATGAACACCCACATGTTGGCATCAAAGAGATCACAGCTGATAGCATGGCTGCACACTCTTGCTCACCAATGATTCTCCAAACTCCTTTATCTCCTTTTTTATTTGAAGCATTTCAATCTGTGTGTCTCTCCAGGTTGTATGTGTCATCAAAAGACAGAGAGTCCCGAGACGACTCCCTCACACCCCTGCAGTGGTGCCGGCAGGCTCTGGACTGTCCCAAATCAGAGGTGGAGGCCGCCAGAAGATCGCTGTCCCTCCGCCTGGAACAAGGTACGAGACCCCCACACTGTTTGTGCAGCAAAAGAGCCGACAGTGCGAGAGACTGTTCTCACAGGGTGTTGAATTAGAAGTTATTGTGCATCAACACACGGCTGTGTGCTGAGAGCGGGGGTGTTCGAAGGGTGGAGGAGTTTCTCTCCGTCTAATGAACGATGCAGGAAAACCTCTCTGGAGTTCAGCTGGAGTTCAGTCTCCGGGTGTTTCGAGCTCCACATTCATCACTTTTCCTTGAAAAAGAAATGCATCAGGAGAGTATTAAATGTTAAATTAAATTAAATGCATTTGGGTGATAAAATGTCAGAACAGTCAGAAATGTGTTGAATGTATAAGAAGCGACTAGATCTAAATATACCTCCTTCATCACTTCACTGAGACTAATGCGCCTCAGCAGGACAGTAGACCTTCCACACTCTAATCTGTCCACTTCTTGTAGCATTAAGCAGATCAGGCCCGGGTCACCTGACCCACGTGTCCACATGGTCACAGGCATCATTTCATAATATCATGCACCACAGAAGAAGAGGGAGCAGAAGTGCGGCTGCTGAGCTCCAGATCCAGGAGTTGGCCTGTTGAAGAAGATCCTGGTGTGAGTGATGAGTCACTGCGGAGGCTCCAGAGAGTGTGTGTGTGTGTGTGTGTGTGTGTGGAGGCTGAACAGGCAGCCTGAGGCCTCTGATGAGAGGAGATGGTGCTGCGGGGGTGCGCTGGTGTGAGGCAACACTTTCAAAACAACGTCTGGAGTCTTTTCGAAATGCGTTTGTGCTGCACCGCTCTCTTTGTTGCATCGGTCAGTGGACAGTTCATAAAAGCTCCCACGTTTACTGATGAGGTCCAGCACTGATGTGGATCGGGTCTGGCTCTCGGCTCATCCCAACGATGTTGGATGGTTGACATTAGAGCTCTGTATGGAATGATATGTCACATGAATGCACATAAATAGAGAAACCAGATTAAGACACAGGTTTGGTTTAACTGACTATTTGAGACATCTGAGTTGTTATCAATTGAGACGACGTAATCGTGTATCACAATATCTTCTAAATGATTTCATCCACTTAAAGACAATAATATTATAGAATTATCTTATTATCCTGCCGAGTTGCAGCTGGTTGCACCAGAGGCGGTGAGGCGGCATGCTACATGCTAACCGCTCTGTGCACCGCTCCGATCTCCCCACCAGCTCGGCCCTGCTGCTGTGTGTCTCTCTCTCTCCACTCTCCACAGTGAGAGAGAAAGGGAGAGCCGTTACCATGGAAACCGTTTACATGAAAGGAATGCCCCCCCCTCTTTTCGTGTCTTCTATTCACATCGACAGGTAGCAGAGAGAAATCCTCGTCCTGCATCCTCTAACACGCTTTAATAAGAGCCGCACATCCTTCTTTATGCATCTTTATTCCCAAGATATTCACATCACAGGTGCTTCAAGCCAGCTGAAGTTTCCTCTCTCCATCTAAGAATAGTAACGTGTGTGTGTGTGTGTGTGTGTGTGTGTGTGTCACTCAGCACCAGGTACAGCTGCAGTGTGTGAGCGGCTCTGTTGAGTTCAATACTGCTTTGTCCTTTTGTGCTGAGCACGTGTGGAGCTGTTGAATAGAGCAGTTGGTGACAGTCACAGTGCTGGTGAGGTAACCGCTGCACAGTACTGCCCTCTCTTCCTGTGTGTGTGTGTTGTTGTTGTTGTTTGGAGGTGAGAGGGCTTTATCTCAGGAATTGTCTTTCATCTTCTGGATAAAGGAGTTAGTCCGATACCGGTGACTGATAAGGATGTGAAGAATGAATGTCGTCTGCATCTTTGGAAGTGTTTGAATAAAAAACAGAATACATTTAATGTGTGAGAGACAAAATAGTGCTTTTCTAAATTGTGCTGCACCCTCACTTCTAATGACTTGCTCCATCATGAAAGAAAACATATTCAGACACGTGCATCATGAGGCTTTTAAATGCCTTTTTCAAAGGTCTACATATTGTTGTCTTAATTTTGACAAATCGTTCCTTTCCGAGGAAAAGAACATTTGGTCTTATGCAACCACATTCTGCCAGGAATGTGCTCTACTGCTTTAACTGAGACAGTTTCTGTGTGAGGAGAAGCAAGGTGGTGTATGGGAAGTGTAGTCTCAATGCTGAGAGGCACACTTGAGATGCAAAAGTAAAATCTGATTAAACGAGAAACAAAACAGGGAATATGTTCTGGAGACTTCTCAAGGCAACTTTTTTAGGACCAATGTTGCGTTTTAATTTAGATTAAACTCGAGGCGTCTGTTGTTTACACGATGTTGAACTAGACAGGTTTGTACTGAGCGTAGTCAAACTTTATCTCGACATAAAAAAGAAGATAAAAGTAAAAAATAAACATAAAATGATAAATTTCTCGTTGATAAGCACCTCAGCATTCATTTCTACTTTAATGCTTTTGGAGAAAAGCCAAAGCTACTGTCTGTGCGACTGCCAGTCAACTTTTTACAGTTAAGAGCTGCAGCTGTTTTTTATATGTATGTATGTATGTATGTATGAATGTCCCCTCTGCTTGTTTCTCCTCCTCAGTCTCCAGGTGGCGGAGCTCCCTGTCCAGCCCCTCTCCCACCTCCCCCCCTGGCCCTCCTCTGAGGCGAGTGGCCGGAGTGTGCCCCATCAGTTCTTCCCCTTCAGCCAAACCCTGCTCCACTCCCCAGTCGTCTGAACGACATGGTAACTCAGGACTTTTGGCTCTAGAGCAGCTCCGACAAATATTCGTATTATTGAACTGAAATTTCTCTCTTTGTCCTCCCTCCCTTTAGCTCCGTCCCTCTCCTCCCCGCTCCACCCGGTCCTCCATCGGACCCTGAGCCCTGTAGGGAAGGATCTCTCCCCCGTATCTGAGAGAACTCCCACGTTCCTCACTGCCAACCACAGTAAGCCTCAGTGCTGCTTCTCCTCTACACACTGAACATCAAACTGAATGCGTTATTGTAATCACATGACTGCAGGTGTAGAAGTGGGTCAGCCACAAGCTCTCTACATATCATTTCAGCTGCGTTCTCATGGAAGTCTGAGAATATGTTTCAGCTGCAGAAATCAAACTGTGCCGCAGCCTTTTGTGCATTATTGGTGATGGAAAAAGATAATGAGGATATTTTACAACACATACAATTTCATGTATTCATTCATACAAGTGTTTTCTGGAAATGCTCTCTTTTTGGCCCTTACCCCAATACAACGTAAGTCTGAGGACCATTTCAGTAGTTCCAGTGAACTACCAATACAGTGAAGAAAAGATGTCAATTTTGGGTGGAAGATGACCCAGAAAGGGTGCAGAAAACATCTCCACATAAGAGCAAAATGTGACAAAAGTAATAAGAATGATGGGAAGGATTATTTCCGACAGCACAGTGTGCAGATATGAGGAATATCATTAACCGGGGAGAGGTTGGTATAACCTCTCTGATAGTATTTCTGCCTCACTGGTGCTTAATAGACTCTAATTCTCAGAGCCAAGTATCGGCCTCCATTAGTTTGGATCCTTCATCTTTATGTAGATGACACTCGAGAGCTTTTCTCATCACTGAGCTTCCAAAGCTGAGCGTCGTTGAGCTGCAGTGACGCTCTCATTTGTTTAACTCTGTCGGAAGCGAGCGGGGGAGAAGTGGCATGAATCAAACAGTTTTCTTACGCTGGTTTAATTCTTGTTTTTAAAGGCCACAGCCTCCGGCGCTCCGCCCTCAGTCCCCAGTCATCCATGGACGGTGACCTCGGTGCTTCATGGCTGGAGGACGACTCCATCACTCTGGGATACAAACTGCAAGACCTCACCGACGTCCAGGTCATGGCCCGACTGCAGGAGGAGAGTAAGTTGTTGACTCGGCTTCGATTCAAGGGACACGCAACACGAAGCAGTGCAGTAGTTTGGCTCTGCCTACTGACTGCATTTCTGTCCCCAGAACAGCTCCTGCTATGAGAAATTGTTTAATTAAAACCCCAAATTGTTGTATTGGTCTTTCATTTCAATGGTATCCAAACTGTGGGGGCAGAGAGGGAGTATATTTAGGGATATGTTGAAGATAAACTCAGTTGCACGAAGTGATTTGGTGATGGATTTCATGTTTTATTTGCTGTTATTTCAGTGTGTTGTAGTTGTTTCTGTGTGTACCAACTGTCTTCTTCTGCTGTCCATCTGTCTCTCCTGTTCCCTCCTTTCTAATATTTTAACATATGGCACCAGATCTCAGAGCTCATCGCTACTTCAGCTTCATTAACCCCAGAAGGTGATGATTGTGTGTTTGTGTGTGTGTGTGTGTGTGTGTGTCCTGTCCTTGTGTGTGTTGCACGCTGTACCTCATGTCTCGCTCTCCCAGGTCTAAGACAGGACTACGCCAGCACGTCGTCCATCCTGGCCAACCGCCGCAGCCAGAGCTTCACCTTCCAGCTCAGTGCCGGCCCCGACCTGGACGAGGAAGACGAGGACGACGAAGACTACGGCCTCCTTCCCCCGCCGCAGCCGCGCCTCACCCGCCTGCCGCACTCCCACACCTTCTCCAGCATCCGAGACTGGCGAAGAAGCACCAGTTCCCTGTCCACCCCACCTTCCACCCCCTCCACACCGCCGTACCCGTCCGCTGGGTTCGCCTTTCAGCCTCAGCTCCAGCCACTGGGACTGGGACTGGGCAGCCTCTGCGCAGTCGAGCAGCATGGCTTCAGACCAGGATCAGGTGAGAAAAGATCTGATACACCTACTGTACACCACCTGCCCTGCACCAAAGTCACAAAACCAATTGGCGACTATCTGATGTAGCATTTGGCAGCGGAAGAGCCAGATATTTCTCCTTAGGCGATGGAGGAGACCAACACCGAGCTAAAAAGAGACCGACTACTGCCACCCAAAAATACACTTAATACACTCAGGTATTTTAGTATCGCGAGTCCATGAAGTTGAGGGACTTGCAGGAGACGGATCAAAATCAACAATGGTCAAACTTTCCTCTCAAAATTCAATTTCTTCTGAGTCTCACTTAAATTTTTGGTGTTGTGAAAGTGAAGTAGAAACATGCTAACTTTGCAATATCTGTCTGTCAATGGAACTAATCGGTGATATCTGTGTTTATATCTTTTGTACGTGAAACATTTATGTCTGTATTTGCAAACATGTGTATGGCGTATTGTATTGGGGGCAACTTCATCACGGCATCCAGCCGAATATGAGAGTAAGTCTACGTCTTTCACTAAATTCAAAAAGAACTTAACCTCACAAACATTTAGAATTTCTTAGTTAACATCAATCCAACTTTAAACACATCTAATTTAAACCTATTATTTCATTACCTTTTTAAATGTTGGTTCTCGTAATTTTCTTTCATTTTCACAATCCAGCCGGCCTTTCCTCTCTAATCACCCCCACTGATGTCCTTACCACTTAATAATAACTCTGTCTAAGCCTCTTGTACAACCGCTTTAAGCCCTCAGACTGGCGTGAGAGAGTTTGATGGGATTAGGATTAGGAGTGTATATCTGACTGAGGGGGCTGGAACCTGTTGTTACGATGAAGGAGATCACGGCCAGCTTTATGTGCCGTTTTAAGGGACGTAATAAAGGAACGGGCATGACCGACAGCCAATACAGTATAGTGGTTTATTGTTAAGGCTTTTAGGACAGTAATCAGGTCTATTGTATTACAATCTGCCCTACTGCGTTGTTTAACTTCATTCATAGACGTTTGTTTGTCTGTCTCTGTCAGATAAGCTGCGAAGGAGCATGCCTAACCTTGTCAGAGCTCCCAGCATGCCTAGTGTGCCCAATCCAACCAATCCTAGTGCTTCCCCTTGTTTGCTTCGTAACAGCCAGAGTTTTGATTCGTCCAGTGGGCTGGCTCGACTGCAGTCCTCCAGTGAGTTGAAGTGTTTTTCTTATTCACCTTTATTGTGAAATACACATGCAGCAAAAGGATCTAATTTCATCTTTTATCCCCACCCGTCTCCAGTCCCCTCCCCAGGCCAGCTGCAGAACAGGGTCCAGAGCGTCGGGAACTTCTCCTCATTATCACGGCAACCACTGAAGGCCACCGCCTACGTCAGTCCCACCATCAAGGGCTCTGCCTCCGTGCCGACCCTCACCAGCCTCCAGTGTCTGAATATTGGCGGCGGGGGAAGTAACGGGGGCGTCAGAGGCATCCCTATGCTCAGTAAGACTCCTGCTTCCACCACAAACACGCCCCGCAGCAGCCTGCCCCGCCCCGCCTCCTTTGTTAGCACCCAAAGCTCCACCCCCCGGAGCAAGGTGGGCCAACCATCACGAAGGTAAACCCTTTTACTACTGGACTAAATATAAGTTATTGTTTGCGTTCCTATTAAGATTGTCAAATGAGTAAATATCCTTATCTGTCTTACCAGGCTGACTTTAGATTTGACCATTCCTTTATTGTTTTCCTCAGTTTACTGACTCCTCCAAAGAGCTTGTCCACCCTCAGTGCCCTGCGTGACAGCAACTGGAGAGACGGCTGCTACTGATGAGTGGATGAATGGTGCAGTAGTGCAGTGGAAACCCCGCTGGCTGGGGTGACTCACTGCACCTCAACGTGACCCTTTTCCTCGGGGACATTTGAATGGGTTTGACCAAAAAGTAACTGAAACCTTAAATCCTGCATAGAATAGTTTAACGTTATCCAAAAGGGCCACAACTGACCTGTCATCTATTCAATTCTATGCAGAATCTCTTCGGAGAAGACGGGTTGTGCGAGTGTTTGCATGTCGGGTCTGATTTTACCGACAGCTCGACACTCTGAGTTTGGTCCGTGCCAAGAGGGAGTTGTTCCCTGCTGCCCTCGTGCAATAAACCACTGGCTGTGGGGTACTAGTTATACTAACCTGCTAAAGAGGGCTGCCAGTTACTATACAACTATACAATACTGTATGTATTTATACATTTATTTTAAATGACATTTTTTAACTAATCAGGTGTTTTTCCCTCTGGCAACAAGCGCCACTGATGCTGCTAAAAATGAATCGGTTCCTGTTAGTTTGGCCACATTTGGTCTAAAGTACGTATTTGTGTACAAAGCTAACTATTAAGTGTGCTAATTCTATATTATTGTATAATTCTATATGATTGAATTTTAAATGTGACCAAATTTAAATATGTCTGACTGCGTTTACAAAATTGTCTCACCATAAAAGCTGTGCATATTAACACTTTAAAGTAGTTTAACGCCCTGAAAGGGATCTGTTCCTGTTGCACTTTGTACAAATCTCTGAACTCACTCAAGTTGTTATGTCCCGTTTACTAATGTTGGCACTTTCTTTTACATTTGATCTTCTGGATTTAAGGGGAGAAAACATTTAAGGATTATTGTTTTTTTGGGAAGATTTCACAGTTATACACGGCATAGTGTAGCACCCTTGTTTGTTTAAATGACGTCACCGTGGCACTTTTCACTTAATCCTGACACTTTTGTTACTGTGATGGACTAAATGACTGAAACATTTTATTAAAAACACACTGAATTAAAGATGACTTTCTTTCCTCACTGCTTCATGTTGACTATAAACCTGCATACTTTGATTCCAGAACTAACACGCTCCAGTTAGGATGCAACAAGCTGAAGAATATTGAATACTGAGACACTTTGAGGAAGTACTGGGATGTTAGTGAACTCAAACAGTCCTAAATCTGAAATAAAGAGCTTTACATGAGCTACTGAAACAAGGACACGGACATATTTCTAAACATCATCATCACAGGTTTATTATCTAACATGAGTCGTGGATCCTCGTTCATCGGCTGCTGGCAGTGAGAGCTGATCCCAGTGTTTCTATGAAGCGATGGACGTCGCTGAAGGAGTTGTAGAGCGGCACCGAGCGCGCTGGGCTCCCTCATGTCACACCGACATGTTTATTGTGACCGTTATGCACCAAATATGTTTGTAAAAACCCACTTGGAGGTTGCTATTCGTTCTGTTTACGCAGCTGTTTTATTTATGGTTGCACATCCGCTGGTGCCGAGGAGGACTTGAACCCGACACGGGCGCCTTTCGTGTCGTGAGCAAACCTCCTGCGCCACATAGGGTTTGAACACACAACCTCAGGCCTTTTAACCCGTCTTATATCACTTTGAAGTATGAATTATAGATGTAATACCCAATGAGGCCACAAGATGGCGGCAAACAACTTTAAATCACATCAGTGGCTTCATGTTGCACTGCAGAGTGCAGCTGTGTGTCATGTACAAATAACATTTTCTTTACCGTTATTCATCAGGAACCGAGTTTTCAGATCATGTCCCACCATCCCAACAAGCTGCAGGAGACAGAAGTAGAACATGATGTTGAAATAGATTTGTAGCTTTAGAGATGAAAGGGTTGGTTCACAGTTGTAAAACAGTAGTTCACTGAAACAGGCTGTAACATTCCTTCTGTTCATATAACATATATAATAATTATGTCACTGCCATGTTGTATACTTTTTAAAAGACACGACACAAATGTTTTATATAATGTGCTTCAAAATGATAAGAGCCCAAGCAGCTCACACAATGCATGAACTGATATTTATAATATTTTGAGGGTGATTCCTCAGATGCAATAAGCAGCAAATACGCAGCTAGTGTTAAAGGTCATGACTAGACTATATTTTGAGGGAGTTCCTTAAGCAACGTTCTTAGACACTGGTGTCCTCACTACGCCAGGAAAAGTTCCCCCTACGCTACGAGTCCAAATCTTTCTCTTCACGTATTTGACGTCGTCATTGGATGTCAGAGCTCAAAATTCACTGGATTTATAAGGATTGAAACCACAACGCGTCCTAACCACTGCGCTACCACAACAAGCTGTCTGCTGATACACAACTGTTTCTTTGTGTATTTGACTTCTTCTTTGGACGCTGGATGACAAAACTCCTCAGAATAGAACCCACAACCTTTGGACTCCCAAATAGTTTTCTATAACCCTGAGCTATCTGATCTGACAGTCGGAGGATTTATAATGTTCTACAGATCTTAAACTATTTCAGAATCAGAAAAGGGTTTTTTTGCAAAGTATGAGAGCCTTTACATGCTGACCAAAGGTGTTTAACAATAAACACAGTAAAAGAAAAGAGAAAGAAGCAAATACTACAAAATTAATTAATACGAATTATCAATATAAAATAGAAACATATGCATTCAAAACGTACAAAGTAAAATGTGTTTTTGTACAGGTCTTGTGTGGTGCCATTTGGAGACAAACAGGTTCTTGTTTTACAGGTAAAGAAGAATTTCTGCTACGTTGATGTTAATGTTCCTCTTCGAAGGACTAAACATTCCCTCCTTGTTTTGTTTGATTGGCAGGTGTCCATTGAAGTGCAGCTGAAAGAGCTTCCTGTCCACATTCTAACGGGCACAAAGCCGGTGAATGAGCCCGGTAAATGTCAGGACACCTTGCAAAATGGCTTTTTGTTCCACCGGAGGAGGCTCGGAAAGGTTTGAACCATTATTTCACCCCATAAAGTGGAGGTTCTCAGGGTTCACCAGGCATGTCGATGCTCTTTACCCTTCTCAAAGTCTGAGACAGAACCCTGGAGAATACATTCTACACTTTCAAAAGCAACGTCCTTATTTAAAGACTTTCACTTCCAATTAGTCTTAAAGGCACAAATAACACCCAATACTGATATATTAAATCACCTGCCCTGTCCCTAATCAATATTTGAACTTTTACTTGCTTGCAACAGGTCGATGTGATTAATTATCATCTTATTTACCATAATTATTAGCTGAATAAGTGAGGGGCCGTCTGTTCCCAGTGCTCTTACTCACACTTAAATTAAAGTCACAATTAAAACTCATCAGAACATCATTATTTTTGCGACAACTTGTTTATGGAAACCGGGAGGATGGCGTTTTTTAATTACCAACACTGGCACTTCAGCTCATGGGCTGGATTAGTCAGTGAGGGGGGGTCATGGGGCTCAATTTAAGGCTGTTTCAAATACTTCTTCAGGCTCAATTCTTTACATTTGACACGTTTTTTTTTGTCCAGAAATTCCTTCTCTTGCTACCAGGCTTTGAAACAACATTGTGTGAGGAGAACAGATACATGGGAATGAATACCATATGATTTTGCAGAGTAATTGTTCAGATCTTCTGGGGAATTTGGAGCCAAACAATGAGATACATTTTATGTACATGGATCAGAAATTCTATTTGAATTAAGTAAAAGAAGAAGTGGAGGAAGACAATACCATCATCCTCACACTATTCAATTAGTGTGCAGGCAGACACCTCCAGAGAGAAAAAAAAGGAGCATTAGCAGTCATATGCCAACCAGATTTGTCCCATTATTCATTACAGTTAATTGCTTCTCCGTACTCCCGGCCTTTCCCAGGAAGGCGGCTCACAGCGGACGTCTGCTCCGCTGTAGATTGTAATATGAGCGGAGGACTTAAAGCTGTCATTCAAATCTCACCGTGACCTTTTGGGAGAAAAGGCTGTTTTTCACGCAGTTTGCAGGAAGCAGACTGGATAGAGTTTAGTGTGTGTGTGTGTGTGTGAGAGAATGTACTTCTATACTTGTGAGAACCAATCTGAGTGAGGATGTTTTTACCAGGTGTAACCCGAGCCAACAGGTAACACTTCAGAGGACACTGAATCCCTCTGAACTCTGCATCATTACATACATAATAAGATGTTAGGTCACTCATTTCATTTACAGTAGCTGTTGGTTTTCCCTCTAAACAATAGAGGCCAGTAGTGAGGCAGAAGATATATTCTGATTAGGTTTCCATTGCACTTATATCACAGAAAGATCTGACTGAAGTCCATTGAGTAGCTGTTGAGGGGAAATAAGCCTTGCCTTAAAAAACATGTAAAATAAATTCAAATAAAAATAAAGACCCTTTTAAACATGGCGACATCTTTTCTGTTCACATCTCACCTCTGCTGATATGACGCCACCTATGAATGATGCTCGCATAAGAAACACAAAAAAAACAAAAGCTTTGCAAGCAACCAGATACATTTAATTAGATAATTGCTTCTTTTTTTTTACCTGAAGACCAGCTCACAGTATTCTTACAGTAAATGGAACATGATTCTCTTTGAGCCGAGATGAAGCTGTAATTTCATCTGCAGGAGACAATCAAACATCGGGATGCGGATTTAAGTCGTGCTGCCCATGAGCTATTCTTGACGAGCAGTTTGAAGGGTCCTCGGCGTGGAGGTAGTGTGTATGTGACCACACTGACACACACACACACACACACACTTCAGGAACAGTTAGTGATGGTTCATGGGAGGAAACCTTGTGGAATGATTCTGTTTCCTGCATACGAATAAGTCCATGTAGATAAATCTGTTAATAATCAATATAAAGAATGATATAAAAGCGGTAAGGAAACACACACACACACACACACACGTTCTTTTACAATATAACACCTTTAACAGGAGGTCTGTAATGAGGAAGAGTGAGGACAGACTCACTGCCATGTTGGAGGAATGAAAACTAACTCCATTTCTTTGTTTTTTAATTTTCAAAAGGTGCCGATAAATAATTGTCTTTCTCACAGATTTTTTGGATCAGACTGAAATGAAATACAATAAAAGAATTTCAGTTTGAGCAACAGATGTAAGAGTTTGAAGGAATGCTTTAAGACACTCTTTAAAGTGATCACGGGAACTATTTCATCCTTCGTCAAAGAGCAGCACAAGTTGAGGTTTAATAGCTGAAGTCAGTCTGAATTTGGCCTTCAAGGAATATAACTATAACTATAACTATCTTTGCATCATGTTCTTAAAGTCCCTGAATAATTAGTTTCATCATAAGCATTTCTCTAAAACATTAGAATAATATATGCTTCACTCTTGGAAAAAAAACTTCAACACTCAAAAAGTCAACTAACCTTCTTTCTCAATCCTGATTGGTGCTCAGAAGTACATGACATCACCAACCAACCATGACATCCAACCAACTTCAAACCCGTAAGAAAAAAAAAAAATACTGGATCATAAAATAAATAACTTCCTAAAAACCAGCTTCCCTTTTGACTGACGTAGGCCAGATGACTAAAATAAATATCAAAATAAATTCTGGTTGACTCCTCCAACATGGCGGCACGTCCCTTCTAACAAGACCTTTCTAAAGAACAAACAAACAATACAGTTTAAACTCCGTCCTTTATATAACAACTCTTGTTTAAATAGCTTTACATTCTTTAACATCATGTCCTGTATTTGTTAACATGGAGTGTGGCATTGTGAAAGAGGTGGGTCGCATCTTAGGCACATCAAGGCACATATCACACATTCACACAGCTACAGATAAAACGTCCTATTTGTGTCACACAAACGATGAAAACATCCGCTAACAGCATGCAGGACTACTCACTCTCTCTCTGCTCACGACCACGAGAAATAAAACAACTCCACTTCAAATGCACTTTGTAAAAATAAAGATTTTGCATGCATATAAAAAAAAAAAAAGAGAATTTCTCATGCAACATTTAAATCTCTGTAAATGTATTTGTGTCTATAATTGGCTGCTGTGACATAAGGACAAAGAATAAATAATAGAAATATATATATATATATGGAAAGAGCAGATTGAAAAGCATCTTCCTCAGTAACGCTAAAGCTGGAAACCTCATCGTGTAAACCTCAGAATCAGTAGTGGATTACTGGTAGTGCAAGAAGATGTACTTCAGAAACATGTCAGAGTGCTTTAAGAACCATTAGATATTACCTGACTAGTAATTGTAACATGCTAAGATCAGAAACAATACAATGCAAAGCTCTGTCTGGCTTTACTTTAGGGGTCCATAGTTATTTCTTTGGTTTCCTGGAAAGAACTGGTGATTTGTTACAGATTGCAGGTCAAATTGGATCCATTTAAATGAAATAAATCTCCATTAATGAGTCATTTATTCCTCCTTTCTGTTAAGTTGCATGTTATAAGCGTACGTCTCCATTTTGCCTACAGTTGGCACCAGGTTACATGTTTCTTTCCAGTAAACTTTAAGGGAATTATTAAGAAATATCAGAGCCGTGAAATAAAGCACAACCAGATGAAAAAGCTGCAGCGACAGTGTTTGCTCAACAATCAGTGTTAAAAAATGAAGTTTAAAAAGGAGTAGAAAGATAATGTTAATGATCAGTAGAAAACAGATGTGTTGTGTGACATCAGAGGCACCAGATGTTGAGAAAACAAACGGATCGACCCTTCGTGAAAAACAAACCTCAATCTTTAGATACGATTTCACTCAAAACGCACTCGGGAGTGACGCTTGATTTGGCCAGATTCATCCCGCCGTGTGCTTGATTGCATTATTGTCATTCAAATAGTGGCATTAGCATGAGACCCTTTTTGTGTTTGCCACCTTTTAAAGGACCAGTAGCTGAATTTCTTTTCTTGGCATCCTCAGAATCCGCCCCCGCTTCGGTCCACCGTCACCGGTCCTCTTTTATTCAGAGTTTCCTCCGCCGTCTTCATCAGCATGGCCAGACGGCTGTCCGACACTTGTCCCTTCTTCACCGCGCTCATCAGCTGCACAGGAAACAGCAGAGAACAGCGGGGAAGGGTTAACTTCAAAGAGGAAAAATGTAATTATCAGTGTGACGAACATCTTCACATATCCCGGACGTTAAGAGGTAGAAAATGAACCCGACATCAGCTGTCTTCTTCATGTGTTAAAGCTGTACTAGGAGGGAAAGCAAGGAGCGACTGGTGCTGCAAAAAAGAGCAGCTTCCATTCCTTCAAAAAGATGAGGAAGGTATTATTCTATATTTCCCTTATTGTCAACAAATCCCATTAAGACCAAAAGCAACGTGTTACGAGCCACAAACTGAAGTTCTATGATAAATCTGCATTGTTCAGTATGCTTCAAACAACCACTCAGAGAAATCCTTTCTTCAAGGAAAATCTGAATTTGTTGAGTACTATTTTTAGATGCGAATTAATACACTATTGAGTTATTAGTCTCCATGCATGGCAGTGCGTAGAGTTCAACTACTGACTATAAAAACAGGAAGTTATAAAATAATGGATTTCTACAGAGGAAGAAGAAATATGAGATGTTACTCGATAGTTGAATTGTTGATTTTGGTCTTTTCATGGGATTTGTTGACAGTAACAAACATAATATCTCCGCTTATCCGCTCTGTCATCGTTGTTTAAAGTTTACTAGTGCAGCTTTAACACTTCTTGGATCCTTTTTAGTGTGTTTTTTCCCCTTCAGCCACCAGAGGACTTAATACAGTTTCCTGTAACTTGATTGTTATCCCATCAGCAGCTACATGTACACTACCTGTTTGTTGTCCCTAAGTCATCCATGTGCAGGTCGGGTATCCACACAAGCAGAAACAAGACGTTGAGAATCACAATGTACACGACATATGCATGAATAAATACTTGACTCTAACAATGTTTCACGTGTCACACGGAGGAAAACTCAGCTGCTCGTCTCCTCGGCCAGCGGAGGAGCCGGCACACCAATGAAGACTAAATCATGGACTGTCTCCAGGCTCTGCCGTAATGACTCTTTCCTGGACTTCGTTTTCATGCGAGAAGCTAATTTAATTAGCCCCGACACACAAGTCGCTGACAGAGATTCTCCTTCCTAATTAGCTCCATCTAGTCGGACTTCACACCTTCTGTTCTGCAGGATGTTCATTGTTCTCACATCACAGGTGGACAATGGTCTTTTTTTTAATGATGTAGCATATAAACATATAGTATGTATGAGGTACATGTGATTATCTGGATGTGGAAAGTGCAAGGTGTAAATGAGTATACAATATATATATAAATATAAAAACATATCTCTAAATATCTGCGTCAGAGTTTTACACATACATTTACTAGTATAAAGAATTGTGAGAGTGAAATGATCATCAGATGCATCCTCTCTCCTCTGAGCTCTCACTGTCTGCACGTCACCTACCTGCATGAATTCATCAATTTCCACTTGACCGTTCTTGTTGAGGTCCACCTCGTTAAGGATTTCATGGAGCGCATTTTCATCAATGTGGACATTGATGCTCTGCAGAGAAGAAAAAACAAGACGAGGGATCAATAAGGTGTAATGAAGACGTGTGTAAAGATGAGAGGAGATGAAACAAGACTCACTTCCAAAACTTGCTGGACGTCGACAGTCGTGATGAATCCTTTGCTCTCTTTGTCAAAATTATGGAAACGCTTCTTGTACCTGTCACACAGATTTCAGCACATTTATTCCCTCACATTTTACTGTGTGTGCAGAACAACACCCATCATACTGCCGGTTACACACTGGCACATGTTTTTATTTCATCAGATAAACTAGATAATAAAAGGTGAATCATTACCTGGCTACTTCCTGGTTGTCCAGGTTGATCTCGGATGTCTTGGTCAGCTGTTCGGAGCGAGACCTGTAGCCCATCTCGAGGTACAAAAACTTCCTGGCTGCTTCCAGCTGGGTCTGGATTTCACATTAGCGGAGAGAAGAGAGGAGTCAGTCTGTTAGCACATTAAATATACCCAGGAGCACAAACATAACCCCCCAAATCATCTCATATGGTTGAATAAATACAGATTACTGTCCGACATCTTGTATGAACGATTCAGCAGACCGGTTTTGTTTACGTGTTATTCTACAGTATGAGACATGTGGCCTCCCTGTGCTGTAACAATAACTGAGAGTTCAGTTTTCATGCACACGTAACTCCACTCATATCACTTCATCTCTTTCATACACACACAAACAGAGCTTCCTCCTCCGAAGGGATGAAGGGCGTGGACCTTTTCTATTGTGTGCCGATCGAAAACAGAAACCAGGACTTCTAAACCCCACCAGGGAATAAAGGCATTATGTAAAACAGAGCAGCTTTTTCTGTTCTTCAGATTTTTACCGTCTTCTGCTCCTCACTCCAGTCCAGCTCCTTCCCCATGATCTGCACGATGCGCGGCAGGGCTTCATCCGCCGCCTGCACGTTCAAGAAGCCCAGGCGTGTTCGCCGGGCGATGACGTCGATTGCTGTGCAGGCGTACTCCTTCATCGCATACAGCACCTGAGGAAGAAGGCTCGCATGAGGCTCGAGTGTTTCAGCCTAGTTGGGCAACAGTAAGCATAAAAATCCCCCGTTACCTCGCCCTCGATGTAAGGGAACTCAGACACCAATCTCTTCCCCACGATCGGCCACCTTTGCCCGGTGACCTGAGCCATCTTGGCCACGTCGAACGCCTTTCCGCCGTACGTCGAGGCCAGATGCTGAGCGACCTGCGCACAGATACCAACGAGAGAATAAGAGAAACAACCAGCTGTTGGGATGCTTTTCTTTTGTCAGTTACAGTAAAATACTTATAGCTGGAAAACACTTTAAAACTCTGCAACTTCACTACTAAAAATGGTTAACCACTATAGCATAGGAAGCAGTATAAACTTTTATTATGATGTATTTATTAAAAGGAAGGAACAGCTCCTAATATTCACATGATGGATTTCCCCTCTTCAGAGTTCAGCGATAAGCGTCGACGCCACTTTGTCAATGAGGCGTCACATGTTTACACAACACAAGAGGGCTATTTGCTCTTCAGATCGTTGGGCTGCCGATCATGTGAAAGGGCAAACTCTGTCCAAATATCAACGCTGACCTTTTCGGAATATTGGAGAGAGCAGCAGAGCCGGTGCAGAACGCCTCTAATGAGGAGTAAGTGTACTGAAGGCACTCGCTGCACGAGTACTTTTTCTTCATGAAACCATGTTCTACTGGGTTTAATGAAAAGGCACAGCCTAATTATTGGAAAGATGGCTTGTAGCTGATGTAAATCAATGTGCCCTTACTTCATGCCGTTGATAAATCGTACAGCGTACAGTGCATTTCAGCGCGTGTCCAGTCTTTTGTGTAGTAGAAATGTCAGCATTGTTACAGCAGCGGCTTTAATGTCAGCCTCACTGCTGCTGCTGAAGAGGACAGTGTGTGTGTGTGTGTGTGTGTGTGTGAGCTTGTACAGCTTTGTTTGTATCTAAAGCTAGTTAAAGGTCTTCGAGATCACAATGTTTCAGGAAGTCAAACTGGTCTCGGACGCAGAGCTTAAACAAACAGTTACAACATTTTGGTGAAATTAAAAAGCACCTCTGAAGCTCACACGCTGAAGCTCACACAGTAAGAATGATACAAGACTGATGCAGCATCTTCTAATTTCACTAAACAAAACCCAAGTGTGCGTGCTAATGCGACTGAATGCTGTTTATAACGCGGACACGTGTGTTACCTCGTTCTCCAGCCCGTAGTCCTGCACCAGGCGGATGTAGAGGGTCGGCGTCCAGCCCTTGGCTCCCTCCAGCATCAGACCCACGGTCTTGCAGGGCTCCGCAGACAGGCCGTGGGTTTTGACGGCTGCGTCCAGAGTCTCTTCAGCCATGGATCTGTAGGTAGTCCACTTGCCCCCTAGAGTCACACACACACAAATACGATCCTTAATGCGCAGAAGCGGTGGTGCAGTGATGTCACAAGATAATCCAGAAACTGACCAGCGATGGTGACCAGTCCGCTGTCACTGATGCTGACGATGTGGTTTCTACAGATGGACTGAGTGTCCTTGGAGTTGGGGTCGGTCACCAGGGGACGGATGCCGCTCCACGCTGCCAACACGTCTCCTCGGCGCACTGCAGACGACACAGAGGCGGTCACGTTTCAACCGAGACGCTTCACTCTGAACCAGAGCTAGATGTTAGACCGAGTGCATCGTTGACACGAGAAGAAAATTAGATCTGTACTGAACTTCCTGCACTTGTGATATCACATGCTGATATCCTGACCGGCACTTTCTGTCTGGCCTCTGTTTCATCTTTTCTTTAAAGTACAATCACCTGAAAATAACAATCATTGTGTTTTGAATGAGCTGTTTGTATCTACATATGGAGCAGGTTCTTATCAGCCGCCATGTTTCTACAGTAGCCCAGAACGGACAAACCAAACACTGGCCCTCACCGCTAGATGTTGCCAAGTCCTGCACACTGCACCTTTAAACTAAACGCACTGTTTGAATGGACAGGTGATCTCTGTGAAGTGCAGGTACTGAACAACAAAATGACATCCCAGAAAACCCTCGACATGACCGCATGCTCCTCAGAACGGAGACGAGAAGCACCTTCTACGTCGGGGCTGAGGTAGTTGCGGATCTCCCTCAGGATGAAGTTGATGTCGTCCTCCCCCGGGATCGGGTGGGCCGTCACGCTGGTGGGCGAGTCGGTGGTCCCGGCGATGGTCATCTTCTCCCAGGGCAGGAAGAAGATGACGCGTCCGTCACTTGTGGACGGATCGAGCAGACCCATGTTGTCAGGACTGAGGGACAGAAAGGTTGTTGTTATTATAACAAGTGCAAGTAGTAGAAGAAGACAGCGGAGTGTTTATTTTACCATCTTTACAGTCTCAGGTTTGTGGATAAGTATGAGAAAGAAGTGTTGAGGAGAGCAACAGAAAAGGAAAAGAAATGAGAAAAGAGGGACAAACTGAGGAGCTGAAGACACAAATGGAAAAACACAGACGTGGGGGAGGAAGAGGAGGCGGTGAGGGAGCGCAGATAGCGGCAGGAGGAAGACGAGAGAAGAAGAGAATTAGGTGCTTGGCATTTCTGGCGCTGTTCAAAGGGCTCGCGCTCCCTCGGGTTTCGCTCAATAAGCTTCGCTGAACTTTAAAAAACGCCCTACTTCAACAAAACCACTCTATTGCTCTGCTGTATCTTAACCAGAGAAGATTGTCCTATGCATGTTAGTATAGGTCAGATAATAGTTGAGTATTTACACATTAAAATGAGAAAGCACTGAGGATTAAATATGTACTAGTGAATGCCTTTTGAAATACCAAAAAATACTGGTTTTAAAGGACATGCTGCGAGTGTGTTGGCTGTGCGTGCGATACCTGTAGTAACCAGGGATGACGATGTGAACACCAGCGCTGGGTTGGCAGATGTTTTTGGTTCCCTGGTTGTCCATCTTCCTCAGGGAGTCGGTGAACGGTCCGGTGGCGTTGATCACACACTTGGCCTTCACATCAAACTCTTGTCCTGCGAGGAGAATAACGGTGAAACACTCGTATTATTAAAAAGACAGAAGATATCTAAACAGACATTTTTTATTGAGACACTTAAAATGAATTCCGCTCCTGCTTTTAGTGAAATACACGACTGTTATTGTTGACTAAATCTTGACTGATGGGAAAGTCTCGCTCACAACAACAACACCTGCATGCCTCACCTGTGATGACGTCCCTGCAGCGGGCGCCACACACCTTCTCCTTGCCGGTCTGCGGGTCCTTCGTCTTCAGCAGGTGGACCACCTCGGTGTAGTTGGCGACGGCGGCGCCGTAGCGGGCGGAGCTGAGGGCGATGGCCAGGTTCATACGGGCGTCATTGTGCTGCCCTGAAGGGGACAGAGAAGAAGAAAGCTGCTGATTGAGAACAAAGGTTTGTTTCATCTAAACCTCACTTATAATACATTCAAATGTAAATTAAATTAAGCTGAAATAACTGGTGGTTTATGCAAAGAACACTCACCAATCCATGCGTCCCTGACCCTAAATGCTCCGTTTTGTCTCTGGGCTTCTGCGCATGTGAAACATTAACACACTATAGTTTCTCTTTCCTCAGATTTCAGAGCGTAGTGATACCAGCCAGTTCACAGTAAGAGCGTCAGGCCTACACAGGTGCTGCAGAATAAAAGTGCCTCTGCTGTCGTTGGTGCAGTAACCAAGACAGCAGGAGTAATAGCTGTTGCTCAGTCGCTCCGGCCGTCTACGAAGCTCCTCTGCGCTCGACACCGCCGGGAGAGAAGGTCAGATTTCGAAATGTCACCGGCGTGATTGTTCCAGACGGCATAATTGGAGAAAAGACCCCCCCCCCCCCTCAGAGCAGATGGGGTGGACATCAAACATGTGCTGCTTTGCACCAAGAAAATGCTCCTCTCTTTCTCACCCTGCAGTAGATCCACTTATATCTGGCCATTTTTTATTTACATTTAGAAAAAGGCTTTTATTTATAAAGCATAAATAATTGCATGTAAATTAAGCTCTCAAGACAGCCAACTGCTTCCAAAACTTGGGAGATTTGTGGATTTTTCTTTCATAAAAATATTCAACCAGGAGTCACACTAACAAAACTGCAGATAGTTTCTTTACAAAGCGGCATGGATTTTAATTACACTGATTTTGAAAGTTGAATACAATAAATAAGAGACATTAAAAGCCTCTTAAGTAGCATCAGGTATAAAACCAGTGATCTGCGATCAGAGGAGCATGCAGCGTTTACAGCCACAGGGAAAGATGGGCATCCTTCCAGCATGTCAACACAGCTTCTATCTTCCGTTTGGCTTAATCATGCTACACAATTTCTACAATAAAACAATTTATTTAGATGCAGAATGTCTTTTAAAGATGCGCGGTTGCATCGTTTTGCAAGCTAAGGGCTCGATGATGTTGCAGACATTTTTATGCAGACATTTCTTGCCCTAGTTTTCACTCCTTTCTCATGCCATGTCGTGTTATTTGACAACTAAAAATGCTGCTTTTATGACAAGAAGTTTAATTTTGGGTCTGTATGTCCACAGGCTTTCAACACTATATATATCTATATCATATCTATATATGAATAGACAGAGGAGATCTAAAATTCTTTGAAAGCGAAAGAATTGCTGCTGTTGAATTGTTATTTTTTACTTATATTTGAGGGATAATAATGGTTTAATTTCTGGAACTAAATAATAATGTGTCGGAAGCAACCAGGAAGTATAATGCTGCTTTTACAGATAATGTATTTCGTTGATGATGTCCAGACGTCCATAACTGGATTACTGCGATACTGAAGAAAACATTTAGTTCTCAGGAAGATCTGAAGTTATAAGGAGTGTTTTATTTTCCATTATTTATTGAGTTTATTGTTGGAAAGTGACCGAATTAAACATGTGCATCATGTCCGTGTGTATAGAGTTATGACTACTACGCCAATCAGTCAGAAAGACAATGGATAAGAGAAAAGCCAGAGGGAAACAATAGCTCTGATCTCTTCTATCCCATTAATCCCATTTGAGGGGCCCTGAGCCACAGGTTGTCTTGACAGCTACTCGGCACAGAAGTTTTATTTCAAACTAATATTCATCAGTAAACCGAACCGATCATTACCATTGGACAGAAGCTGGAAGGAAAAAAGCAGGAAAAGGGCTCAGCTGCTCTGTTCGTGTTTACAGAAAATACAAATCTGAGTAATGAATCAACAAACGGAGCATGCCGTTTCTGATTACTGTCCACACATACAAAAAGGCCTCCGCAGCCTTTCACTCACCGTCATAGTAGACGATGGCTCCCACCAGCTTGTCCTTCTTCAGCATGGGGAAATGCTCCAGGGCCTTGGTCTTACCGAGGACGTAGCTGCTCTTCAGATTCTGGATCCCAGCCACCAAGTCGTACATCTTGATCCCCGCCCAGTAGTAAGGCAACTGCCACCATCTTGGAAATCAACAAGTTAGATTGTAGCTACATTTTTGGGTAGTTTTTGGGGTTTTCCATCAATCCATAATCCTTTAAACAACAACTATCTTCATTTTAAAAAGGTCCTGACACGTACTTGTACACAGGCAGCATGATGGGTAGCGGTGCAGAGAGGTGAGGTGCAATCTCCAGGAGGTTGGCTCGCTCGCGGAGGGCCTCCTTCACCATCATGTACTGTCCCCGCAAAATAAAGAGCAAGTTTATGTCAAAGAAAAGAGAGTAAAACAAGAAGAAAATGAAAACAAACACGAGTCTGAAGAGGAACCTGTTCGTAGTCTAACTGCATGATGGCCTTCTGGAGGTAGCGGACGCCGCCGTGGATCAGCTTGGTGCTCCGACTGCTCGTCCCCGAAGAGAAGTCGTTTCTTTCTACGAGAGCAGTCTTGAGGTCTGCGGAAAGATGACAAAGGATGAATATACCTGTACTATCAATACGTCTAAGCCACACAGTAGTGACTAGTCAATATCATTTGTAGAACAATATGTATCACGACATAATTCTGCTTTTTATAAAGATAATAGCAAATAAAACTCTCCTCCTCCAACACTTATAGAGCTTGGAACATGTTGTATCCGGGGAGAGTGATGCACCTGAGAGCAGATTGGCTCACTTACTGCGTGTGACAGCGTCTAAGGCACATCCTGCACCCGTGGCCCCTCCCCCAACGACCAGGACGTCAAACTCCTCTGTGCTTTGAAGCGCCGCGAGCTGCGCCTGCCGAGAGGGGAACTCGTCGGCGAAGGGAACCCTCAGCTCTGCTTCTGCAGCCACGTGGGCTAACCGAGTCTGGATCTGACACAGATACATACAGCAGCACAAACACAATGAGAAGAATGCATTTGAACGACGTTAACGAGTTCCGAGTTGTGCAAAACTACAGTTTTCTGTGTTAATTTGCAATGCAAAGCCATAGAAATACAGCAACACTTTCCTTGAGGTGCATTTTGAAACATTATAAGCTCACTGCAAGCATTCCCAGGAAATGCGTTTATGCATAATAATCAACTCGCCACATTACATGTGAAATAATGCATAATGACGAGCAATCATTTTAATACATTATGGATTTGACTGTGTAATGAGATCACTGTACTGTGCTCATAATATGCATTATTGGGTCGTAACAGATGATCATGTATGGAAACCTAGAAGTGCTGCGGTTACTATTTAAAAAGTTTAGTACAGTCCAACGTTGAACAATTCAGAAGAAAAAGAGTTTTCATTGTTTTACAGAAACAAACAGTTTTCATAATAATCTTCCATTTAATATTCTGTGTTTCTATTTTTTGGCCATTAATGGATAGTTGACATGCTGTGAAATAGATGACATATTTGGTCCGCTTCACTTTAGATACAAGACTTTTTCTCTTACAAAGTATTGTTACTTCATAGTATTGCTACTTTTACCCGAGTACTTCACCAAATGTCGTTTAAATGCATTTTTAAGTCCAAGAATGACCTTTAATCTTTAATCCAATGATCTTTGATCCATTATGATGTCTTATTTTCACCTTTAGTTTCCAAGTGAAGTGTTGCTAAAGAAGCATAAATACTGTATATACAGTGTGCCATTAGTAGCAGAGGAAAGTTTCGGCTGCAACATGCTGCACAACTTTGCAAAACCAACAAAATAAAATCACAATTAGCAAAATAATTAATTTAAAGAAATATTCACATACGAGAACACGATAAAAGCAAAAACACAGCTCCCCTCTGATATGAGGATGTGGAATTTCACTTCTAATGAAATATTCATTCATTCATTTTTTTTTTCTTCTATTTAGCAGCTCAAGCTAAATGATTGCATCAAGCTGCTTTCAAGCAAACGTGGCATTTGACTTGCAAATTGCAGCAGGCGTTTGTAATTTAGGTATGCAACCGCAAACCAGAAGATGATATAATCATTGTCTATTTTTGATGATGCATACAGACAAACACCGCCACAGAATTAAGTGCCGGCGTGCCCCCCCGTAATCAAGTTAAGTCAGTGAATGGCACAGCAAGGCCCATGCTAATAGCCAATCGGCCGCTGTCTTGGAAACTTCTCCAAGCCATATGCCCTTGCTAAAGGAGACAAGACGGACATTCATCTCATCAGCGTTGCAATTACTGGGATTAGAGGCATGCATGATTACAAACTACTGTGGAAATAATTATATTTCATCAGGGTCGACTTCTTGCTTACCAATCCATGCTTGGTGGAGAGGACGACGGTGGGCAAGAGAAGACATTATCGCATCAGGACAAAAAACAAAGTTCACATTAGGTTGCACAGTCAAATAAAGTCTGGTATGTAGTTGTGTGGCATTGCTTAATATAGGCTCCGAGGTCGGAGGTCGGGGGAAACACAGCTGCTTGTCTATTTCAGACGAAGCCGAGCGTTTAAATACAGTTCATGAACACCATCAGTGGCTCAGTCTGGAGGCTTGACATCTCATGTCCCTTCTTGCAGAGAGGTTTAATATCGCTCTTATATCTGTACGGCTAACTTAGCTTAGCATAAAGACTAGAAACAGAGGGAAACGGCTCTGTAAAGGTAATCAAATCTGCACCTTTTAAAGCTAAATAATTAACACGTTATAATCTGTGCAAAAAAACAATTAATAATTGTTTTACTTGCAGTATTTCTTGACTGGGACCAGTAAGATTCTGGTGTCTACACTGGCTTTAGCAACTGGTTCCAGTCTGTATGTGAAGCTAAGTCAGCAGGCTGCTAACGTGGCTTCATATTAAGCGTACAGAAGGTACAGAGATTGGTATCGATCTCGTCATGTAACTCTCAGCAGGAAACATTATTTACCAAAATGTCCAACACTGGTGACAAACAGGTGGTTTATGTTGATATATAAATAGGCAAACAGCCACACCTCTACAAGTTGTCCTCAAATTCTTAATTACAACTTATGAACATCACACATGTTATTGGACCAGGAAGTGGAAGGAAAACAATCAGAGGTAGTTAGTTCCATGAGAGTTTTAACAACAATGTGAAAAGAAAGAAAACAATCATTTAATCATCAGAATTTCTGAGCAGTTCAGGATTCAGTGCTGGCCAGGTTCCAAGTTACTTGATGCCTCCTGCACGGCAGCTGGAACGCATCCAACAAAAACACCTTGAAGATGACGGCGAGCACATTCCAACATCTAGACCTGACAAGCCTGGAAAGAAGTCCCTCCAAGCTGGGTCGAATTGTTTCAAAAAAATACCATTCACAATATTGTTCTGAGAAACATTGAAGTATTTTGTCCTTCAATTTGACAGCATGTGATGCAGCATCAACAATACTGACAATAGAACTGGAACTTCTATTGTCAGCAGAACTGGAATCATGCCGCCTGTAATCATAGTGGCAAACAGCGGAGCGTCTCTTCCAGCACAAAATCTGAGAGGTGACATCTTCCATCAGCTTACCTGTGTCTTTTTGTACTCGATCAGCTGTGAAAGGCCAAAAACGGTGGCGACCGCCCCGCCGCCGATGAAGGCCGTCTGTTTCAGAGCCTTCCTGAACGCCATCTTCCCTGAGGGAGCAAAAGTAAAGTGCAGTGAGGAGACGGAGCAGGGACACCCGGGTTATGAGGCTCTGGCATGACAGAGGCACGCGAGGAACTACGGAGGGTGGGAGGATGCAAAAGGCTGAGAGTCAGGCTGTACGGCTGGAAGTTCAGGTAGGTAATGTGCAGAGAGGCAGAGGAATGCTGTGGTGATGCAACTGTTGCACTGAATAAGGTGAAAGCTTCATTACTCTGAGAAAGAAATGACAGTTTTCATAATACTTGGGCGTGGCCGTTTGCAGCGGGCCCTTGCTTTGGCCCCTGGAACGTTTGGTTGGAACGTTAGTATAGCCAGCATCTAAGTCCAAACACAACGATATTCAGTTTACAATGATCTCAAATAGGGAAAGAGCAGAAAATGATCACGTTTGAGAAGCTGGTACCATCAAATATTTGGATTTCATTGCTTGTAAAAATGAGTTCTTTGACCTTTTAAAGATAACTGCTCATCACATAATCACTCAGAAGAAGAAGAAGTTTGAGGACACACATTGGCTCTGTGATGGGCATTTGTAATTAGCTTTGACATTTAAAACCCCACATGATCAGACAGATTGATTAGTTTAAAAAACATATATATATCAAAATAATTGACATATTAATCAATAATGAGAATTATTGTTAGCAGCACCTTTTGCAAGATCATTAGTTTGCCCAACTATCCAGAACACATTATTGCTTTGATCGTAAATGTTCTGTGCGATGCATGCAAAGTGTTAGTAACATAACATACTACAGGGACTACTAAGAAAATGACCAAAGTACTTCTTAAAGTAGTAGTTTTTTCTACTCATCGTTTCATATCTATTTACGATCTATATTTTACTTATTGGAGAAGTTTCCAAGTAAAGGTTCCATGTTTACAGGTCAAAGAAAGCAAATCTCATATTGAGGATACGACTGAAAACAACATATCAACTCTGCAGCATTATCTTGCTTAAAAAGTAGTTCATTTGCAGTTAAGTATAAAGCGACTGGTGGAATACTGTTTCCTGTATTAACGAGCAGAACATGATACCAGCTGCAGCAGGACGAGGGCCTCAATCTGATTACAAAAGGTGCTAATTAGCCTCTTTTTGAACCCGTTATAAATACGATGTATATAAAAAGCTTCCCCACAGAACTGCATATTTTAGATGCTAAAGCTGTGATCTACAGTATATGTGTGATATGTAAAGCCTAATTATAGCCGGAGGGAGTTTTAACGTCCTTTGGTAGTTGTGATGCTATTTCAATGGCATAAAAAACTGAATTACAACCTATAAAAACTAAATATAAGCTAGTAACATGAACTATAAATGAAATATAAACGTGTTTTTCTACCAAATTTATATAACAAACTAACACGCAACAACAAAAAGAACTCATCGGTGCCCTTTGGTGGACAAATGCAAAAGAGAAATGTGAAATATTTGTCTCAACAAAATAGTCCAAAACGTGTTGTTTTCATTCAAATCCGGACACATTACATTAAATAAGAAAGCACGATTAAAGCTAGACAACTACTGCTACTTCAAGCTTAAATACTCCAATAAAAAGTCATAGTTTAAGACTATTTTATTCAAGCAAAAAACAGATATTTTGCTCATCTTTTCTCAAAGTGTATTGTCCTTAAAATCCCCGGACAATCAAATGCTACTCTGCAGCATAGCTCAGGCGTTCACACCCTCCCACAGGCGTCTCATTACTGGAGCCTTTAAAGGCCAAACGTGACCATAATTAGCCCTGAGGAACATTTCTGACTGGGGGTAGGCTACTCACATGACTAATAAGTGAGTGACATTAAACTATTCGTCCTTGTGATGATCACCACCTCATTCACCTACATCAGCCTGCAGACAGCCCCATGAGGACTCAGCAGAAGAGGGGGCTCCCTGGCTGCGATGAGGGCTGCTTTCTGAAGACGCACATGGAGATGTCCATGCGCATTTTCCCATTTTTAAATGTATTTCCAGAGGATACAGTTTGTAGTACTGACACACTTCATACAGCAGGTGGTAGTATATTGATCTATGATGTCCGGTACCACACGGTTCCGTTAATCTATCACCACACAAGAGGAAGTAGCTGGTATTTGAAATCAAGAATCAAGCTTCGCCTCCGCCGCAGGAATAAGCCCTTTACGCGTAATACACCTCCACCGGAAGAGAGGAAACATGTCGCTGTTTTACGGCTTTTAATAACCAAAAGGCACACATGAACCATGCATGTCGTTATCTACAACACTGAGAAGAGGTTACTCCTCCATGGCCACTGCCACTAGCAGAGAAAACTCGCAGATGTTGCTCTGCTTTTTGGCTCTACGCCAACAAACAAAAGGGTTAAATATTCGTCAAACATTATAAACATAACAGACATTCCCACTTACAGGATTTCTTGTTTTGTGGCTGATTAAAACTCGCTCGGGGCGGCGACTAAGGACATCGGTTGTTATCCAAACCGAGGCTTGTGTTTGACAGCAACGACCAGGAAGTGGAGCTGCCTTGAGCGACGCCGCGGAGAGCCAATCAGAACGCGACACTCGACCAATAGCGTTCGAGAGGAGGCGGTGCCGCGCGGTTGACGTCACGTGGAGGGTAAAGATTGCGCAACGCTAGTCTGCTGTTCATCCTCCTCCTCAGGATAATAATAAAGAGGGAGAGAAGGGGCACCAGCTGTCGTTATCTTTCTGTGTTTCAGCCCGAAAGGCTTGACAGAAGAAATAAAGCTATAGCATACATAAAGACTTATTAAATGTATTACACGTGTTTTAAAATGAAAAATGACGCTCCTCAATCAGCCACAGATTACAGAACAGCTGGTGAAGATGATGTTATCTTTAAATACTTTTGAATCGTACTCTGTATGTATGTTTCCAAGACAAATTTCCTTCGGGACATTAAAGTCTATCTTATCTTATCCCCATGAATGTAAACAGACATCTGCTTTGAGTAGCAGCCCCGGGTTAGTTTGAATTACAAAATCACAATACATGTCCTTATAGGCCTGGCGCAAACTGCAAGAAAGTGCACGCATTCTTTCCAAGTTACATGGACTTTCTGTGCCCACACACACCCCCACCCCTCTGTGGCGCGTGCGTAATAGGGTTTGGCACAAGGGCGCGCACCACGTAAACAAAAGCACATTGTCGGTGTCACTGACGGCCAGTATGCAAGACGAGAGAGGGAGAAGTGAACATTGCCTTTGCTCTCCGCACAGCGAGCGGACCTTTCTGGTCGCAGGCAGCTAAAGCTTTAATATATCCGCAAGCAACACAACAGCAGAGATGGGATTACTTGTCACTGTCCTCCTGCACTGCACGGAGGTCTGAGGTATTGTATGACCTTCATGTTCTCCACTAATTTATGAAGAAATCAATCATGCATGGCTGTGTAAATCTTGCAAGTGATGCTTTGGTGTTTTTTGTTGTTGTTGTTGTTGTTTCAGGCAAACTCTAACAGAAAATAGCATCCTCTGGAAAATAAGACAACTCAAGCCTTCAGGTAATAAAGACAATTCTATGCAGCTCAGTTTCTGTTGTTCTATGCAAGACGTTCAAGTCGTTTAAGTCTGATTTAAAATAGTTTTAAGTTTCCATTGGATTTTTAAAAATTAATGAGAAAAATTAGAAAGAAAACATTTGAAAGTAATGTTTAAGATCAGACATAAGGGCAAAAGCTTGTACTTCGTCTGTTGACTGACTGCATTGTGCCATGTTTGCAGGGCCATGCCGTGCGTCCAGACCCAGTGCGGCTCCTCTCCACAAGGAGCCAGCCCGGCCTCTCAGAGCGCCGGCGGAGAGCGCAGCGGCGACTTCCTCACCCCGGAGTTTGTCAAGTTCAGCATGGACCTTACTAACAGTGAACTCTCAGCTGCCACGTCGGGTCCCAGTTTTGGCCCTTTGGGTGACACTTATGGCGCCGGGTACGACGTGAAGCCCCCGTGTCTCTTCCAAATGCCGGTGCAGGGAGAGCTCCCGTGCGTCAAGGTGGAGGATGCGCACGGGTGTCCGCGGTATCAGCCGAATCAGCACCACCCGCACCAGTCCGACGAGCTGCTCTCCTCCCCGGCCTCCGTATATTATTACCGCTCCCCGTCGCCGCACACCCCCATCACATCCAACTTCCAAACTCCACCGGGACACATATGGGAGGACTCCGGCTCTCTGTACAGTTTTCGACAAGACTATTTGGCGGCGGCGCACAGAAAAAACACGCTATCCAGATTGTCGTTGTTTTCACTAAAACACGCGCAACACGGCGGCCAGAGCTTGTCCACCTGCCGAATGAAATTTGACGGATCGCTCCATGTGTCGATGAATGTGGACGCAGCCGGAGCGCATCAGCAGCTGGACAGCCCCGGGTTTTTGGGTTCCACTTCCCAAGGAAAGCAGCCCGGAGTGGGGTTTCCTCACCCGCTTCAGTTCGCCCACGGACACCACTTTATGGACTATCAGGCTTCTTGTGCTCCCAGCCGAGGACCGCTGAGCACGGAGGGGCTGTGCGCGGTGTGCGGGGATAACGCAGCCTGCCAGCACTACGGAGTGCGCACCTGCGAGGGCTGCAAGGGTTTCTTCAAGGTTTGTTCTCAACTATATTTTAAAGCTGCAGGAAAAAAATATGATTTTAACTTGGATATTTGCAGGCAGCTGATGGACCTACAAGATGAAAAGTCTAAATTATACAGCTGTAATCATATAGAAACTGAAGATACGAGACTTGTTAAAATGGATGTATTCACTTTTTTGTAGCGAAGACACTGTCGCCTAATGAAACACTTCAAGTAATAAGATAAAATAAAAACCCCACAGGGAGCCCTGACAGGCCTCCTAAATTGCACATTGTGCTTCAGACGCACGTTTTGATCTCTTGACACGCGCGTATTAGGGGCAAATGTCCTGTATTAAATAGGCCACCAACGTGCCATGAATAAAAACCTGGCCCTTCTCCTCTCTGAGGGAGATTCCCGGGGGCAATTCTCCAAATTATGAATGGCCACGACCCGGTATTTACCCAGACTGCCCTGTCCGCCTGCTGAATGCCTTACACTGCCTCAGATGGCCCACAGGGGCCAGAGGGCTGCTGTTAATTTTCAAAGGACCGTTAAAGGCTCTGTACTTCAGTCTTGACAAAAAAAATGGGTCTTGGAGCTACTAAAAAATCCTCCCAAAAAGTTTCCCCCTGCCGCCAGATTAGATCACCTTGAGAAAGCCCACTTTGGTGCCTTATAATCAACCTTACAGTGCTATACCGTGATATTGGTTCAACAGAGACCAATCCTGTCCTTAGATGTTCTTTAATGCTGCTCTTCAAACTGGTGCCAAAGTGCAGATGCTGTGGATCAGGATGAGGTTCAGAATTAAATTCAAACTACTGTCACTGAAAGTAACCTTTATGCATCAACCTCACATTTATTATCAAGTCTCCGAAGCGCAGATATTATATTTCTACACTTTCTTTATTTGCAACATATCTAAATCTTTTTCTTCCTCCATTCAGCGCACAGTACAAAAAAATGCCAAGTACGTGTGTTTGGCTGCCAAAAGCTGCCCAGTGGACAAACGCAGGAGGAACCGATGCCAATACTGTCGCTTCCAGAAGTGCCTTGTAGTGGGAATGGTCAAAGAAGGTAAACAAATAAAACCACGGTTCATGTCTGACCTTCAGGGATCAGATTGGGATTCCAATTACTGATTTCAATACCAAAATCTAAAAAGTGTCTCCCGTTTCTCTTCATCGTGTCCTGCAGTGGTGAGAACAGACGGTCTGAAAGGTCGAAGGGGTCGTCTGCCGTCCAAACCTAAAACTCTTCCGGACTCGTCTTCCCCCGTTAGCACCCTCCTGAGTGCGCTCATCAGGGCGCATTTGGAATCGAACCCTCCTCCTTCTCATCTCGACTACTTCAAAGTAAGCAGTGTGGCGTTATTTCATAAGTGAGTTGTAACGCGTTTACACACAAGATGAAGGCAGCAGAGCTGTAGTTGTTGATCTTTCCATCTTTCCACTTCATCCCACTGGGGACCTTTCACCAGCTCAAGGAGAGTCCAGGAAGTCCACCGGGGGACGACGTTCAACATGTGCGGCAGTTTTATGACCTCCTGACCAGATCGATGGAGGTGATTCGAGGTTGGGCGCAGAAGGTCCCAGGCTTCACATCTCTCCCCAAACACGACCAAGACCTCCTCTTCTACTCGGCTTTCCTGGAGCTCTTTGTTTTGCGATTGTCGTACAGGTAAAGAACAAACCAGATCCAAAAGGACTCAACTTCTTACATATTTCCTTTTTCTTAGCAAATTTGGACCCCAAAACATGTAAATATGTTTGTTGATGGATCTGCCAGTAACTCAGGAATGGATTTGTTTTCCAGCACTTTTGGCACAAATGAAAGACGAAGCTGCTGAGCCCCCCAAAAGGACATTTATGGAGGGAGGGTTTGTCACCGTCTTAGGGCCTACAATCTGAGCACAATCTGTCGTACCGTTTCAGATCCAACCCAGAGGAAGGGAAGCTGGTCTTCTGCGACGGGTCGGTGTGGCACCGGCTCCAGTGCCTGCGGGGCTTCGGGGAGTGGATCGACAGCATCGTTGAATTCTCCGCTAATCTGCAGAGGATGAACCTGGACGTGTCCACCTTCTCCTGCATATGCACACTCGCCCTGGTCACCGGTGAGACGCTCAAAGATAAAATAACTAAGAAAATGGAGCCGGGAACAAAACAAGTTCAAATTCACATATTTGTAAAATCATATTATGCAGAGAGATGCAGCTTTAAACGATTAGAAATACTCTTTTCTTTGCTGTGAACCAAATGTAACGTTTAGGACGTGTAGGACACACAACAATCTCACACGAGCAGTAAATCAAAGCCTTCAATGTCTCGGGGTGAATCATGTTTCATCACTTCTTATCTAATATGTTTGTTTGAAATGTGATTTGTTTCGGAGCTGCAGAGCGACACGGACTGAAGGAGCAGAAGAAAGTGGAGGAGCTGCAGAACAACATCGTCAAGTGCTTGAAGGACGCCGACAGACTCTCGGACTGTTGGTCCAACCATTTGTCCAAACTTTTAGAAAAACTGCGTGAACTTCGCACTCTGTGCATCCAAGGCCTGCAGAGGATTTTCTATTTGAAGCTGGAGGATTTGGTGCCGCCGCCTGCAGTAATAGATAAGTTATTCCTCGACACGCTGCCATTTTAGAGACATAAGACAACAGGCTTTCTCCGGACTTCTCTGGATTCGGTCATTCCTGACAGTTTGACGTTTGTGCTCTGCATAAAGTGACATTTTGAAATCTAATATCAAGTTGTTAAATCACATTTTTCTCGAAACAAGTAAAGATGAGAAGAAAAACAAATTTGTTTTCGATAATTGTGACCACCTTCTGGTAAGGATCTTCATAACATCAAGCAAACTGCTTTGCAAAATTCAGATCATGCGAGGATCTGAAGGCCCAATTTGGCCTCGCAACAAAGGATAAATACATTTAAAGTCTGCCTGTCGGGCCAAAATGATAAGCAAATGATATGTTCGCCCCGTTTGACACTCTTAGAGGCAGTTTTGATGAAAGATGTTTCCCATCATGTTTAGGTTTTTCATGACATATAGTGACTAATATAATATTAATATTAAGTAGCTTCCATCATGGTCTATTGTCATTGTCCATGTTTTGATAAATAAATGATCGTTATTGCTGCTGGACTGTTTGTTTGTTTTTAACTTAATTTCTTTATTTTATTCTAAAAAATGATGTTATTCCTCGTAAATATCAATAAAATCTTTTAAACTTTTGAAGTTAAATCATAACTTGTTTCCTGGCATACAATTCCTTTTTCAAGACAAGTGATTATTTTACAGTCAAATGAAATATTGGTAACTTTGTGGCATTTTAAAATGATGAAGCCATTTCTTTATTTATTTATTTATTAATGTATGTGAAGTTTTATTCTGCAAAGCTCACGGGCCGTAATGTATATCTGTACAAGTCAAGTCATATAGACATTAATTATATAACACCAAGATCAACTTAAATATATATATAACCTTTATTTAATCCGTCCCAGATTAAGATCGGATTTTAAAAGGGAGACTTGAGTTCTAGTGTACACAATAATACAAGATAGTGAAAAACAGGAATATACATTTATACGAATGATGTTGCAAATTAGCGACTATTTTTGCATAAAATGCTGCAAAATTCATTTAAAGTTTTCACGTTTTGCTCTTTTCAAGGCACAATTGTATCCGTACTGTGATGTGTTAGGCTATCTCTGGGTGTTTTTAAGCATTAAAAGACGTGAGATGGCCGACGTTTGGAGATTAATTAACAAACTCTGCTATAAGGAGGACCATGTTGATATATATATTTGCATGAGCGCATGCATCTGTGTGTGTCAAAGGTCAACCCTCAATATCTCAGAGTTCTTTCAGTTCAGCTGACAGATTTCATACATCGTTCTGCAAGACGTGAGGGTAACAGAGTGTGTGTGTGTGTGTGTGTGTGTGTGTGTGTGTTTTATGGCTGCTAGCTACCTGACATTTCTGCAGCCCTTAGGTTACGTCTGACATTAAAGAAGTCACTTCCTGCTGCCATTTAAGGTCCTCGAATTCAGAGCTTGCAGCGAAAAAGTCACAATACATAAACGTACATCTGCTGATCACAGTTTTAAATAAGATGTAAGTCTTCCTGTTCTTCGTTCTTAAATGGCAAACGGCGGTGAGTGTGGTTTAAATCCTTAAATCAGGAGCTATTTTAAACAGAAGAAATGAAATCAGTAGAAATCCTCCCAGATGATTTGTACTCAGCCTCATTCTTGTCCACCACAATGTGACATCAGGAAGAATTGATTTTATGGTTTGAAAAAAAAGGTCTTTCATATACATAACAAGACAAAAAATAGGATGACGTTCCCAAAGAGGTTTTAACAGGCCTGCAGGTTAATAGTGGAGGCTGCTCAATACAGCGGCGTGGCCGGCTGAGATAGAATGAATCGATAGCAGTATCGGAGAAACGTCCAATTTATTCTGATAATGACAGGAGAGGCAATTTAATACAATACCAGATATCTCACAGCACAACTACAATACTATAGGTGTGGATATTAAAAGACTGCATGCGCTATGGTCACTACTGAGAAAAATAATGCATGTCATTTTTTACTTTACTGAGCTTTTTTTGGTACATATGCTTAATTTTATGTCCCCAGAGCAACTTCTACAATAATTATAAGCCATTAAACATAAAATACTAAAACGTATTAACTTATAGGCCACGATAAACTCTCTCTGATTACATGAAAAATACATATTTTTTGCGAAAGCTATGAGGCTGAAATGCAACAGGAATACATATCAGTACTTCTTCCACTTCTTCCTGTTTCAAAGCCGGCTCCAAACAGAAATGTTTCCCAGTTTGGTGTGAAAGAACTTGACTGACCTGCACAGAGCCGAGACCTCAGCCATCCAACACGGCGGGCCGGACCTCGTCACCCGGCATCGGAGCCGGACCTCGTCACCCGGCATCGGAGCCGGACCTCGTCACCCGGCATCGGAGCCGGACCTCGTCACCCGGCATCAGAGCCGGACCTCGTCACCCGGCATCGGAGCCGGACCTCGTCACCCGGCTTCGGAGCCGGACCTCGTCACCCAACATCTGAGCCGGACCTCGTCACCCAACATCTGAGCCGGACCTCGTCACCCAACATCTGAGCCGGACCTCGTCACCCAACATCGGAGCCGGACCTCGTCACCCGGCATCGGAGCCGGACCTCGTCACCCGGCATCGGAGCCGGACCTCCTCACCAAGCATCGGAGCCGGACCTCCTCACCAAGCATCAGAGCCGGACCTCGTCACCCAACATCGGAGCCGGACCTCGTCACCCGGCATCGGTGCCGGACCTCGTCACCCGGCATCGGAGACGGACCTCGTCACCCGGCATCGGAGACGGACCTCGTCACCCGGCATCGGAGACGGACCTCACTGATGCTGCGGCTGAATGGGAGCAAATCAGTTCAGCCGGGTTACAAAACATCTGGTTGGACGCCTTAAACCAGCAGAGTGGAAGCTGTGAGAGGAAACAGGTACTCAATAATCAAATGTGTGTAAAGATTAAGTGTCCACATACTTTTGGCGATGAAATGTGTGATGGTTCTCTATATTCTATTAAATAGAGTACAAATAGGACAATATTATTGATCACAGGCACCAATAAGACGCCCCTGAAGAAGCAACAACTTGCCCCAGAAACAGGTTGTTTTTTGGGGGGTTCCTGAAGCCTCCCGGCCCCTCGGGCTGGGAGGAGCAGCAGCATCAAGTATCTTTATCTGGAGAGCACGACTTTGGGGGATTTTTCCTGAGGCTCTGACCACCGCCTTTGATCTCTGCATCCATCCAGCTTCAATACAGCTTAACCCTTATCACCGCCAGCCCAGAGACCGCCAGCATCAACAGGGATTTACAGGCAGGGACCCCCAGGAACTTTCAACATGTAATCCATTACAGATTATTACAGATTACCGATCAGATGCTTCAATAGTTGTAGTTTTCAATTAGTTTGTTGGCAGTCACACATTTTATTTATCTATTCTTGTGAATAAAAGCTCATAAATCATCCAGTGTTACAACAACGAGGTCATTTTAAATCACCTCTGTTTCTAAATGACTTGACTCTTTGTCTAAGAGCTTTGTTTGTTTAGGAAACGCGTGGGTGTTGCATGAAAACAGACTTAGCCAGGATGGAGTGTCCACTTAGCAACTCTTTCTCCGATCTTCCTGTCTTGGAAACAACAGACGCTAATTGGAAGGGATTAGACTTTCGCATTTGTGAGGGTGAATCCTTCAGGGAGTCTCAGTGAAATCTACATTCTCTGCAAACAGCTAATAGTCGTCTGAACACTTGAATCAATAGATTGGATTATTTCAGCCCTGAGTCAAAGGACAGAATACACACAGAGGATCCCAGGCGACGCATCAAGAACCTGAAATATCCCACTTCACAGTTTTAACCCCAATCCAGAGCTGATTTAGAACTGTGAAGCAGGGATTTTTAGTATCACATTATGAGAGGAATAAGCGTCTTTAGTTACACTATTTCTACTGTGTGCACATAATGTTTGTGTCTGTTCAGGTTTGTGTTTGAGCAGAGCTTTTCCTTCTGGCAGGTTCAGGGACTCTGGGCAATGGACACATCTCATTTTTATATCTGTATGCATGAGAACACCTGAAACCTGTGAGCTGCATTCTCAAGCATTAGTGCACAATGTGTGATCAGGCTTCACAAACATTGCATTGTCAGGAGAAGGTTTATTGGGTTATTTCCTTCCCAAACTCCACTTGGGAGACAAATAGAGTCCGACTTTAAAGTTTAAACACACTGTATCGACATTTGTACACAATATATAATTCATATATTTAATAATTACCATGCTGGAGATAGCTGTTTCCATCTGACACCACATGTGATTCATCCACAAACTTTTTACTTCTTCATCACAACAATTCTGTCTGCTTCAATTTACTCTGAAAAAAGCAGCGCCCCCTTCCTGTGTTATGCAGCAACACTTTTACAATGATACTGATGTTTCAAATAAATCAATCCTGGTTAAAAGCGTGATATGAAGATTCATCTTGTTTCTCCATTTGTTTTATTTTCTATGCATGCTTCCAGCGGTGACAGCTGGTTAGCTGAAGTCAAACAATGCTGCATAATGTTACACCCATAAATACACACATTTATATTCACATTTATATTTCCAGGTGTTTGGCTGATGCCCTCAAGCAAAGTGAGTTAAGGTTTGTACATTTGGAAGGTTGATCCTCCTGAGAACAGATATGAGAAATATCAAATCACTAATTATGATACAGACGTGTCGGGCAAAGAAATAAGCAGGAGAGAATTCAATACTTGTCTATCTTTTTATACTGCAGTGTTGTTTATTTTAGTCGGACAACACGGTTCCTGCAAAAGAAATCTAATGTATAAAGTGACCTCATTTGATATAATCTGTATGACCTAATGTGTTTTTGTTTGCTCTTACAAATGCACAGCTTGACTAAATAACTTTGCAGCAGAAAGTGTTTTTGTCACATTCAAGTCATCTTGAAGAAGAATAGGTCAAAAGAAAAGCTGTCAAACTGTCAGGAGGAGGGAGGGAAAAGATGTCAAAGAAAAGTAATCTGTGGAGCTCCGAGGGGAGGAGGCCAAAACACAACACTTGAAAAAGATCTCCATTATCCGACTATCGCAAACTATCCCTCCTTTCCACCCTCCCCAAAAAAAGATGCTTAGGGGAGTGTTTGAAGAGGAGAGAGCAGTTGAGGGGATGAGGCTATATGGGCTCTGGAGGACTCAGGGGTTTGTTTGAGGATTATGAGGACGTTCACATTCAGAGGTGAAGGCCTGGTGCGATGAGCTCAGGCCTCTGAAGGCTCCTGGATCAGCTCTGCATTCCTGTAAAGAGTGATGGACAGGCGATGCTCACAAACACAATAAATGGAGG